CACCATCGGGAAACGTATCGGCCACATCGCTGATAAAAAAATTAGAGTGGGCTGGCGAACTCGGAGGGCAAAAAGGGTCTCTTACACTGCCCAAGAGCCTCGACCAGTTCCAATATCCAGAATGTGCTGAACAATGTTAATAAAACTTCCAGCCCTCACGGATTTGGCATCAAACATACCTTTGGGTTCTTTATGGGAGCCCGAAACAGCGGATTTTCACGGTCGGCCTCCATGACAAGGGCCGTGATATGGCTATTAGAAGCCATGAGTATGTGATATCTACTGCGACAAAGATTCAAACATACCCGGCTTCATAAGACTCAAATTGCTTTTCATCCGAAGGCGTACTATTTATGTCAGTACTAATTCATCCGCGATATCCAGCGTGATTACCTACAAGGATTCGGTCGCTTTCAGCGTTTGATATCTGCACCCTGTTAGCGTGGTTTGCGCCTATGCGTATGCCCCATAGTTACTGAGCGGTACTGACTTCCGACCATTCTCCTCCAGCCCCCGATACATGGATGAGCCGATAGAGGTAGTCTCGCTGCGTTTATCACATTAAAAACGATATAGCTCCAGAATATGTTGCGGAACCTACGACTGCCAGTCATCGATATCGTACGAGCCGGCCGCTTCATACTCATACAAGTTCGGGTCCTGTGGGCCATGGGGTTAAAACAAGAGTCGCTCCCCGTGGGGTGCATAGCAACTTACAGGCACAATGGTCTCGTTTATGTTCGCCATTATTGCTAGCCACGCGAAAGCAGCGTGTTAGCAAGTAAGAGACAGGGATATGACAGGGAAGGCGCTGCAGTGATGAGGCCCTTGAGGAATGCTGAGTGAGGGGGAAGAAGAATTGACAGCCCTCGTGGAATTCACCTGCAGCTGCAGTTCGTAGTGCTCTTGGCGGTCACTGAGCACGGCTGAGCACGGCTGGAGCGGGCAGCTGATTGACTGGCCAAGCTGTTCACCCGCAGCGCACTACGGCTGAGCTGTCAACGTCTGCAGGGATGGAGTCTTGGTACCCACTTCTGGGCCGTGCCGTCCCCCCGCACCAGATAAAAAAAGGGTCGAGTCAATTACGAGTCCGAGTCGAGAAGACATAACCTCAGAGCCATGAAACTGGCGATAATATGCGAGTGTATAAAAATGGAAAAATGTAAGAGGAGAGGGAGGGAGAGAGCGCGAAGCAGCACCGGGAAGGCGATCTTGGATGCCTGAGGCACCAGAACCTCAAAAGAATCACCCATAAGACTGAGAATAGTCTAAACCTGCTAATTAGTAGGCAAGAACATTGAATGATATGGAGTAGAGGAAAGAGGCTTGATTGAATCAATACTATAAATCGTAGGTTCGTAACAGGGACTGATTCTCGAAAAGACTTTAAGAATAAAGGGGCATTCAAGCAAAGTCACTATTGCCACTCACCACATGGGGATCGTATAGAAAACGTAGCCAGTTTGAGGCTGAAGTCCCAAAGGATCATAGGATCAGGGTAAATGCATCAACTTGTACACCGCTCCTTTGTCTCATGGCACCTAAGAAGGGGGAGGAATTGTACGAGTACCTCCCCTAATGAAATATCAAAACTAAGTAACTTAGTCTAGGCTGTGGCTTAAGTATGGCTGAGCGAGCAGGAAGCCCTGTTCTCCACACCCCACAGTTGTTTATTCTAGATAAACATGATTGGAGGAATGTATAGAGGTTTATGAAGCAACGTGTTTATAGAAAGGGATCGCCACGAAACCTGAGAGTTCCTCTACAATGGCGAGAGATAACCAAGGTCGAATTCATACAAATTCCATTAAAATAAAATACATCGCTTCCCATAGACTGTTCCATTGAATGAAAAACCAATCCGTATAAGGATATCATTAAAGGGCCTGTCCAATCAACAAAGCCACGCCGATAGCCAATGGGCCAGAGAGCGAGAGGCCGGTAGCTGCAGAGTTCTTGCTGGTGGTTGTTGCGGCGGCAACGGCACTAGTAGTTGCGCTCGTAGTATTGCCTGGGATTACAAGGCTACTAGCGAGTTTGTTCAATCCAGATGTTGAATAGAGAGACGGTGACGGCTTGGGGCACGGGTTCTTATACACATACTGCTCAGCATCGCCGCTGCACTTGGTCGCATCCGCAGCGTTGTATGTGCCGTTGGGGTACATCCAGCAACTGCCCGAGGCATACTGCGAATTGTCTTCGTTATGCGGATTAAAGACGACATAGTTGCAAGAATCGGCCTCGACACACTGACTCAAGCAGTCCACTGCACCCAAGCTAGCAGAGCAAGTGTAAAAGCAGTTGTCATCAGGGGTTGGGTACCCGCAGACCGAGGCAACAGCAGTGGGGGTCTCGGTGGCGGCGCATGCACCAGCAGTGGTGGTAGTTGGGGTAGGACACTCGGGCTTGTCGTAGACGGATAGGACGGAGCAATCCGTAGTACCTTTGCTCTCATCGAAGGTTTGTCCCGGGTACAACCAGCAGGTACCGGTGCCTAGGTAAGGGTTCCCGGCCCTGAAGATAACAAAGTCGCAAGGAGGGTGGGCATTACAATAGTCCCAGCAGTGGGGCCTGCCGCTCGAGGCGACGGCAAAGATAGGTGAGGGATAGTCACAGAGCTCCGTGATGAGGGAAGCTGTACAGCTTGCCGCCGCGGAGGTAGTAGACGTAGTAGTGGACGTAGCAGTTGTCGCTGTGAATTCAGTAGCTGCTAGAGCCACCGGTAGGGCTGATAGGGCGATCGAGGCCCAGAAAGGAGTGATCTTCATGGTAACGAGCGTAGGTAAGGAAATAAACGTGCACAAGGGTCTAAAACTGGGGGGAGTACTTCGTATTCATATTTAAACAGGAGTGGTCACTAGTACGAAGACTAGTCCTGCATAATACTAGTAGTTACACCCTTAGGTAGAAATGGGCAACAATCCCGTTGCCAGAAAAAAAATACAGTCCACGGGTCTAATCTTGGAACAGTACTAGTATTAACTAAAACTCTGCGTCCGCAGTTTTTGACTGAATCGCGTTAGGTATTTTGTGTTGGAATTTTGCCCTGAATTTCCGTTCAATACTAGTACATATTACTAGAATTCTAATTTGTGGAGTCAGCCCTGGCGAATATCGGCGAACATCCAAGCGAGCCGAACCGAACCCTTTAAAAATAGAATACTACTAGTAAACTCGATATTTTCCAAGTTGCACCTCAATATATCAGTCATCACTAGGACTTCCCGGTATGAAACTACTATCGAGTTTGAAGGTTTACTATGGTGTTGTTAAAGAATTCACCTCGCTTGGATATGCGGCTCGCCTGTGACTCACAAGTATTAACTACTGGCTGTAGAAAAGTACCCTTAGTCACCAGTGACATTGGAGGTTCCAAGCTTTTAGCGTGTTTTTTAATCACACCCAAGACGCGCCGAGCATTACAGTGGCGTTGCAAAAGTTTGAAACCCCATGTTGACCGTTCTTGTCTCCGCCTTCTAGTCGCGGACTAGTAGCTACCTGAGATGGAATATATTGGCCTATCTATTCCATCTCAGGTAGCTACTAGTTTCCCATTAGTAGGCGGTAAATCATGGTGAGCAATATGGGGTTTCAAACCTTTGCAACGCCACTGTAACTATTTCTGAGTTACTATATTGGGAATAGCTTGTACACCCCAATACAACATTATGCGCAAAGATACGTGGGGGCCGTATTTCGAGGTGGGGCGTCCTTCCAACTTTTCATTTGGAGCTGGTCTGACCGGCAGCGGCTCTGCTGATGCCCCCACAGGAAATAGAATATCCTCATCCGCGATCGGTAGAAGGCGAGGAGGAGTTCGGACGAACACATGGCTCGGGAATGAGGTTGAATAGATGACTGTTTGCATAAGAGGAACTCTACAAGAAAGTAAACCTGAAGCTCAATGCAGAAAGCTATCTGAGTAGAAAAGGTCTGGAATCAGAAAGTCAACTGGATTAACTCGAATTCTGTCAGAAGGCGAGGACATTTTGATTAAGTTGAAGGAGAATATTGTAATATTGGAGCCGCTTTATGCATAATTTATGCATAAGTCAGGGTTACTCGTGGATTTGAAGGTTTCAGCGGCGATATCGGCTTCGGCATCAAGCGTTTCACAATGTTCAGGCAAATAGATGATAGCCCTGGAGATATTCAAGGGATAAATCCCCCAAAATGAAGTTAACAATAGCATATAGATACCGAACACTCCAGATAAGGCGGCCGACACAACAGGCCAATTGCTAATTGCTAGGGGGTGGTAAACGGGGAAAGTGATGATATTGGTAGAAGCGGCCCCGGAGGAAGATGGAAAAAAGGCGTGATGACCCTCAAGACAAATAGTATGAGCATGAAATTGAATATGAAGACGCTTGCAGGCGAAGGAGCTGGAATATCGGATGGCGAGAAGGGTGAATGTTTGTAGGAAGCTTGAAGCTGCGTGGGTCAGAAGACGCGTTGGACTCGGAACATGCCTAGAACCGCAGTAGTATAAAATTCACTATATACGAATAGTATATAATAATATAGAGAGATAATTGCATGTGCTTAAGAACAAAGAAGCTCTTGATAGAGCGTGTTGAAATGAATGTATATATCCCTCCTTACAGGAGGGATACCGGAACGTATGGAAGATGAGGGTATTATAATAGTATGAAACGGACACTGGCTCAAGAAAAGAGTAAAATAGCCAGGAATGCAAGAAACTTGAATTGTATAGAAAATGGATGGTAGGCAAATTATAGCACCATTCTAGCAAATACTAGTAGCAAACGCTTCCAAGCTTAAGGTTATTTATCCTGCCCTGGATGCGGTTCTCAAGGCCACCTGCCCAGGCACCTTCCTTCAGACATTCACCCGCAACTGGTCAACAACTGCCCGTACCTTTTTGTTTGTTTGTCTCTTTTCCTTCCATTTCCACCCGTGTCATACCGCCCGACCTTCCCATCAACACGTACACCAGGAACGAAATTTGTTCTATCCTCGGTACTACTACAGTTAACATGGCAGGTAAGTCGCTCTACCATCACAGCTTGCTGCAAGCAAGAAGGGGGAAAACCAGATATCTCAGGCGAGGGCTCGGAATTCCCAGGTGGAACGCACGTGAAAAAGGCGCTAATTATATCAGAACCTCCCACCAATGCTCCTCCATCGAGCATGTCCGCCGAACCGATCAAGGAAACGTTGAAAACATACGAATCGGAGATGCGCAACTTACCACCAAGTGTCCTATTAAACGCCCCCCGGGTCATTACCTGTTACCGTATGACACAGCGGATGGGTCATGGCGTGGACGATACTAATTCCCCCTTCGACGCTGAACACATGAAGCGATTATCACGCCCCTACAAGTCCGAATTGGAAAGGATACCTACCGATGCCCGAATTCACTCTTTCCGGATCATTTACTGTGTTCGTCTCACACATTGGATTCAACGAATGGTGGGTGACCTCGCTTCTTCGCTCGACGCCGAGACCCTGCGCGAGATCGAGAGAGCGTTCAACCAGTGGTCGATTATTACACGGGTTTCAGATGGAGATATGATGAAGTATCGGCTATAGAAAGAGGAGAACGAGGGTCTAACAGAGCTCGTATCTGTTGCCTTGTCATCTTGACTTCTGCCTGGGAATCTATCTGAATATTCCTGTCTTGCGTGCCCGCTTGCTCTCGTTCTTTCTTTCCCTGTGCTTTGTAACGAGCTAGGTCCTTACCATTGTTTATGCCTTGCGCGGATGGAATCAACTTGACATTATTTGGAAAGCATGAATGAAGGACAGAGCCATTTTAGCATTTTGATGAGAATTTACTCAAGACAGGACGCGCCACAGAAAAGACCTTCGGTTCCACCATGTCTTCTACACAATAGATTGCAAATCTTTATCCCAAATGTTCTATGATGTAATTCAAAGCCTGATTATTGCCCTCGTTATCTTGGTGTTCAGCAGTAAATATAGTCTATTCTTGATAAAATGTACTATATGTGCCTTTATTGTGGCCAATCTGATACATACGACCATAGGGTGTGGAGAACAGGGCTTCCCGTCCGCTCAGCCGTACTTAAGCCACACGCCGGCAGGTTAGTAGTATGGTGGGTGACCACATGCGAATCCCTGCTGTTGTATGTTTTTGTTGTTTTTGCCTCTTTGTATTTTTTTTTTCTGTCTATTGGGATAATTTCCTTGTCGCTTGCCTTCAGCTCCAATGCGCGGGCGTGGTTCGCACTCGGATCTTCTTTTCATTCCTCGAAATCCGGACCTGGTAGCTGTGCATGGAATTTCTACCGTCACTCCGTCCTGGCCAGAGAAGGCGAGGAAAATCAGGTCTTGGTAGTACGCCGCCGGTGAGATCGTGTCCTGCTAGAGAGCAGGAACAGGATAAAGACCGATAAATGGGTGTTTGCTTGTTCGTTTGGTGTGCTTGCTCTCTTGTTTTGGACTGACAAATCAGAATTCGGCAATCAGCCTGACGATACCGAAAGCAACCCTATGAACACCGTTTCTTCGTTTCAACTTTCAATCAGGTTGCGTTCTAGGTCGGGGTGCTTGGAATGCCCAGGAAACAAACAAATTGGAAAGGCACTAGGGCTTGCCTAGTCGGAGCGCCCTCCGCCTGGCGTTGCTCCCCTGCATCTTGCAGAAATGTGACGAACATAACTGCGGTAATACTCAACTCCCCCAAGTTCTTTTATAATCAAAGATCTACCGAGGTCTACAATCAAATCCTTCGAGACCGTACAAGTTCCGGTATTTTGCCGGATCAAGATGCTGATCGCTCCTGGCTTTGACCTGGCTTCCCCGCATGAATAGGGGGGAGTGATGTGACACTGGCGCCCCGCTCATCTTGCAACAAACTAAATAATGGGATTCTCGACAAGCTCGATGATAAGCTTTCCACTGAAGCCAGATTGCCTGTTTTGGTCCGGAAATCTCTCCATATTACCCGTCGTCAACATCTGAACTTCTTTTCTAATCCGCTCGAAAGACCTAACTTGCCTACTCATCTCCGATGTCAAGCGTTAGACAGATCTTCCTATGCCGTGCTCAATGCCGTGTCGAATCTAGCCATTGCCAATCTGCACGGCCTATTCTGTCTTAGTACGGGGTCTTAATTCCCGGAGGCTTCTTCACGATGAGTTAACCAGACCAGGTGGGCGATCCAGAAACCTTGTTCTGGATAAGATCCTCTGCAGTACCGCGGATGTTGAAGGCCTTTCCCCTGGGGGAAAGGAGCGATGCGGCTGCATTACCGCGGAGGAAAAGGCCATTGCCGATAGCCCCGGAATTATGGGTTCTTCACTGCATATAAATTGCCTTGGGACAATCTCTTCATGGAGTTCAATAACTTCCGAGCTACCAGACATCAAAATTCGACATTCAAAAGCATGAGATACACTCTGTTCCTCTTAGCAAGCGCTGCCCTGGCTCTGGCAGTGCCCCAAGGCAACTCCAAGCGAGCATCGTCCTTTGTTTGTATGTATAGGACCTACCAAGACCGAGGCAAAGCTGATCATTTTCCGTAGGGTTTGGCGCGAGCGAGTCTTGCGCGGAGTTTGGCAATCAGAATATTCCGGGTGTATTGGGAACTGACTACACTTGGCCGGACACTTCGGCTATTCAAACCCTACGCAATGCGGGTATGAATATTTTTCGGGTGCCATTCTTGATGGAGAGATTGGTTCCCAATACGTTGACCTCAACTCCGAATGAGATTTACCTGCAAGGCCTGAAGAGTGTAAGTTGTCCTTCTCTACAATGCAATCTATACTTATCTATTTCCAGACGGTGGAGTTTATCACCTCTACCGGCGCGTATGCTATTGTTGACCCACACAATTACGGGCGATAGTCAGTTGGCATTCATCGCTTCTCTACCTGAACCTTTACTTACTGGTGAACTAGCTATGGCAACATTATCACCTCAACGAGTGACTTTGCTGCGTTTTGGACTACAGTGGCAACGGAGTTTGCATCGAATGACAAGGTCATCTTTGACACGAGTAAGCCTTCACAATTGGACTTGTTTTCTTCCTCTTACTAATATCTTCAGACAACGAATTCAACACGGAGGATCAAACAGTAGTTCTGAATCTCAATCAGGCAGCCATTAACGCCATCCGTGCTGCCGGAGCCACCTCGCAGTATATTTTCGTGGAAGGAAATTCGTGGAGTGGTGCCTGGACGTGGACATCAGTTAATAGCAACCTGGTCAACTTGACGGACCCCCAGAACAAAATCGTCTACGAGATGCACCAGTATCTCGACTCGGACGGTTCTGGCACATCTGACACATGCGTCAGCACGACAATTGGCCAGGAGCGTGTTCAGTCGGCGACAGAATGGCTGCAAAGCAATGGAAAACTTGGATTCTTGGGCGAATTTGCCGGTGGTGCCAACTCAGTCTGTCAGAGTGCCGTGACCGGAATGCTGAGCTACATGCAAGAGAACAGTGACGTCTGGCTAGGGGCATCATGGTGGGCCGCAGGGCCATGGTGGAGTACCTATATCTTCTCCATGGAGCCGCCCTCGGGAACTGCTTATACATACTACCTTAACCTCTTGTCTGCCTACTTTCCCTCCAACTCAGGCAGTTCGGGCGGCTCTACAACCACTTCTACCACTACCACACGCTCTACGTCGTCGTCGACCACTACTGCAACCACCACCACTAAATCCACCACCAAGTCCACCACTAGCACAGGATCTACTGCTACTGCAACGGTTTCTCACTGGGCGCAGTGTGGTGGCGTTGGCTGGACGGGGGCCACGGCATGTGCCAGCCCGTATACCTGCCAGGTACAAAATGCGTACTATTCACAGTGTCTTTAAGCAAGAAGTATCATGAATATAACGAGGATTTCAAATCATGTGCGTGAAAATTGAACATGAATAAAGATACTAAGTAGAAGCATAGTTGTTAATCCTAAGCTTTGTTTTTATGGGATAGATGAATCTTTCCCAGGTGGGAGATATTCCCCATGAGGGACATCTGAATGGATCATCTTCTCTTACACTGTCTTCCACATCCATCAGTTTGGCAGTAAATATAGCTTATTATCGATCAAATGTACTATTTATCCCCCTATTAGGGGATTTCTGGTACATACGACCATAGGGTGTGGAGAACAGGGCTTCCCGTCCGCTCAGCCGTACTTAAGCCACACGCCGGCAGGTTAGTAGTATGGTGGGTGACCACATGCGAATCCCTGCTGTTGTATGTCCGTGTCCATCCATTTTTTCTTTATTTATCTATTTTTTGATTCGTTGGCAAAAATACCCTTCAGTCAGCTTAGCCCTTTGTGAGGATGCTCAGATGCTCACAGATCAACGTACAGCGTAGTATACGAAGCAATGAAAGAAAATAATAGCTTGAGGAGAAGAAGAAGAAGAAGGAGGAAGCTGAGATGGAACTAAGTACATGTAGGCAGTGGATGCCTAAGTGGATGCCGCAGGCGCAAGGCATCCACAAATGGTAACAACACCAGTTCGTTACACCCTTCCCAACACCACCACTGCGGCCCTGTTTTAATCATTTTCGCTCTCTTTTGGAGATGTGTTGTACTCACTGGTTTGCCGACACTGAAAAATAATAATATGTGGTAGCGAGTACCATATAGAGTCTCGCGCAATTCATAGAGCATCTGACAAAAATAACAGTGTTTGCTATCAAGGATACCCGGGGTTCAACTCATATTATATTCCTAAAAAATACAGATAGTGGCCTCGAGATAACAGAAAAGAGCACCAGAGAAGGTGTTTACTTACAAAATCGCAATTACCACCTAGATAGCTATTAGATATAAATCCCATACAGCTCATAGCACACACTCGGGTAGAAACACATCATCTCTTCCTGTTGGGATTTGACTCCAACATTCTATATAGGATTCATTTCGGCGTTCCAATTAATCAGTTCATCATTCAATACCCAGGCACGAGCCCGACATTCCCTGTCACCGTTTCTCATCATTGCTACTGCTCGCATCATGTACGTTGCTGCCAATTCCGATGCGTCTGTTTTCAACAGTATCGCAATCGACTTAGAAGCGAAGCAGAAAGCTTGTGTCTCGAATTGCCATGTCAGCACTTCTTTTTCCTGTATGAATCGAGTGGTCTTATTCAGCAGTCTTGTCAATAGGGGCATGCTGAGGAAGTGGTCTTGAGTGATATAAAATGTGAAATAGGCAAAACCGTGCAGTACAAATATTTCACGCTCGACATTCGGCGGTATCTGTGATTCTGCCTCTGCAAGAGCTTTTTGAAACTCGACGATTATAGCATCACACTTCTCGGGTCTTTCACACCAATGTTTAGAGTAATTTGCCCACATTGACAAGACACTCGGATCATTTCTCGATTTCAAGACCGTTTGAAAACAATGAATTGATCTCAAGTAGCCTATTCGCAATGTATACCATAGCGCGTCTCCGTCCATACATTTCAGAGCCCCTAGAAGTCGAACTATTGACGTATTGGATGGACGTTCGGCTTCGGCAAGTGCATGAAGCCATCCTATGAAGTTGTATAGATGACCGTAGTTATTTATCATTCCTCCGACTTCTTTAAGATAGTAACAGACTCGCCAGAACTTGATCATCATGGATGGATGGTTGGACTTTGCCATTGGCTCAAGATTGCGAAGAATCCAATCGAAAGCTTCAGCCGCCTCATCTATGGATGATTTTCTCAGTGCAACACTCATTTCATACGCCTTGTCACTGAGATTTTGCCAAGTTCTAAAGGATGTGTCCTCTGTATCATGAAGAAGGCTAGGTTTGTATCCACCCTTATTGAAAGCTTCAAGGATATAATCATACACCGAGAACAATACCGATTCTTGTCGTTGAAAGATTTCCGGATTGCGCACTGACGCGGGGTTATTTGGGATCGAGTGATCGATGAGAGCATAGAAGACTCTCTCTGCTGCTTTCACGTCGTGTCTTTGACGCTGTGGCGTACTTTTGCTCGATTCTTCTGACTTATCTTGGGAATCTTTCGAATTCTTGAAAAGTTTCCAACGATGTAATTTGGAGTTGTAGCCTTTCAGTCTTTTCAAGTTTGAATGTTAGCCATCGTGTGCTCCATGTAGAGAGCGTGACTGACGTTGGCTCAAAGTGATAAACTAGCCTCATGATACTCCTCATATCATTCTTATTTCTATTATTGTGAATGTATATACGACGTATAGCTTCCTTGAGTGATCCCCATTGTTCTGCCGAAGGAATGAAAGGGCAAAATCTGTCCCTTGTTTCCAGAGGATCACAGGATGACGTGCTGCTTATGTTTGAATGTGGGAAATGGGTCCGCACAAGTGTGTTTGACATCTCAAAACTTTCTTCTGGGGTCGTGCTTTGAAAGGAGCCGGTTTCCTGTGGCATAGACATGTTAGGACCATGATCATATCTCCATTCCGTTACTCATTTAATCCGCATGTTTATTGAGCATACACCACCATACCTGAGAGACTGGGCGGAATTGGGACTTGGTGTTTTGAGAGAAGATGAATCCACAGCCAGCTTGGACTAGTTCCAAGTAATTGGACCCCTTTTGTGAAATCTCAAAAGCTCAAAAGGGACAAGAAAAGCTAGGAACTTAAGAGAAGCTCATAATAGAGGCATCCAGGTCGGTACTGTTCATTTTCACATACTGACGTGGTTTTCCTATCTGTGCGTGACGACCACCCACCTATCACTAAGTCCAGGCAAGCAGTAACAGGCACCGGTGAGCGCTTTTGGGTAGGTCATGGGATTAACCAGGCTTCACGAGGTCCAATCAATTATGAGGCGACGCCTCAGCTCTGTTAAAAATTCAAATGTAATCTTGATTGGTCCACGCTAAAGTTCCATGCATATCTACCTATAGCCATGCAGGGCGAATCGGGTACGGCGGGGGACCGAATGTCTTGGCGAACTGTCTCCAATTACCTCCAACATGGTGCTGATTGACAAATATTTAAGGGAACTAATACCTCAAGGATTGTCATGCTGTTAGTTCTCTCCCTCGCAGCTTTCTCGCACTAAAAAACAGAAATCGAATCGAGAGTTCTTTTTTGTGTTCCTTAAAAGAACAGTTTGAAAAGCCTCGCAAGATTCCCATCCGGGCTTTTCATCTCTATTCTTGTACTGGTCTTTGACCTGAATTCGGGGCTACATTCAATAAAAATATATTTGATTCCGTGCTCTCGATTACCTGTCTCAATCATGGCCAAGAATAAGGGGCTTTTTGCTAGAATGAAAAGCGGTATGATGTCCGGGGCCACTGAGTATGCCTTAGACACAAGAGTTGTCAAGACACTTATGGGCATTGCTCAGAAGGCTAGTCTTACGGCCGACTCAATCAACCGTTATGTCCCTAAAATGGAGATAATGGGGAATTCGGTTTGCGACAACATTGTTTTTGCCACCAAGTTCAGCATGATTGCTTCCACAGCTGGCATTGGCATTGCTATCGTGGCTGTATACCAAGGAATTGAAGCTATGAACCTCATCGGGGACCGCATCAAAGGTATCAGCGAGGAATTAAGGGTTTTAACAACACTGAATGCGATGGAGGTTGTTCCAAAGTACATTTATGATTTTATCAGGGAAGGCCTCGACAAGCAGTTCGATGACGGAAAAAGTCATTGGTTTTTTGTCTACCACCCTGACACTTTTTGGACGCCTAGATTTTGCAAATCTATAAGGGAACGGCCCCTCGATCCCCGTTTTGTTGGATATACAAATCAACTCGATGCACTCTTTATCTTCCTGTTAGCCACGAGAGCTGAATTAACCCGAGAGGAAAGAGAAGCCAGAAGAAATGGCGAAAAGCTTCGATCTGTGAAGTTTCATGTCATCATACCTGTCCATCAGCCCACAGTACTTCCAGAGTTTCTGAAATTCCCGGAGAAAGTCGGTGACTTTATTGTGGAAGGGAAAACATACGGGAATAAAGAGTTAGTGTGGCTCAACCTTCCGCCTGAACAGGAGAGGTTCCTTGATGGCATTGGAAACTGGGAACCCCCTACTCCGTCCAGCATAGACATTTTTATGAGCTGGGCTGGATTGCGTGAGATGCCTAGACAGGAAGAGCCACGTGTTCTGGGCTGTCTCCCACAACACATTTCAGAGAGCGATGAAAGCTCCGACTCTGAGTTAGACTCGCCGGTTAGCGAACATAAACCTGATGTTGGCGACAATCTTTCACTGCCGGGAAGCAGGCGGCGTGTTCGACGAAGACGCAGGAAAAATAGCAAGAGAAACGATGTAAAATTAGATTGAACTTCGAGAAACGCTTCGGGAAAGGTAATGTAGTTCATACAATCGAACACCTTTATCGGAATTGTCTCACCTATCAGATAGATTCAATGCCTCCTTATAGTCCCTTTCTGTTCGCGGTAGTACTGCACAGGCTATTACCCTGTTGTTAATGTTGTCAAGATCGATCAAGAGATAATCGCTTTTTTTGTTCCCCATGGTGGAGATCAGTGAAGAAGCGACCGAGTGAGGGGTCAAAAGCAGCAGCTAATTGAAGATGACTCGGTGAACAAGTGCGAAGGCCTTTCATTTTATCGCTCATCTGCGCTCTAGCTCCTCGTTGAATCTTTCACTGCAGGAATCTACAAATGCGACTTTTGCATGTCAGTTCCGGCCCTTCACCTGAGTGGCTGAAGGCGCGCCCGCTAGGGCGGCGAGCCACCTAGGTCGAACACTCGTGGGCGCTAGGTGACCATCAACGTACAATATCTGTTGTATGTTTTGGCTTTTTTGTATAATTTTTGGTTTCTCTTCGTTGGGTTCGTTTAGTGCCCTTGCCGCCCTACCACTTCAGTCCCTTCAGCCCTTCAGCCCTTCACCCGAACACCCCTGAACCCCCATGGAAGGCGTGGCCACTCGGCTAAACCTGCCACGCTTCGTGCCTCCTGCCATGTAACACCGCCTCACCCTTCACGTACATTAATGCTCTCTTGGGTTCTTCAAATAACCTGGTTTGCTGATGATGCGATACTTTGTGGCCATCACCACTGTCTGATCCGTTATCGGGAACGTTCTCTTGAGCGACGCAGTTCAAATCCTTACGGCGAAATAGGCACAGAACCTAATACGACAAGCTGAGAATTGACAACCCTTGAACCAGTGTCCTGCAATACAGACTCTGTACCAGCGACTAACTACTGCGGGAGGGATGCATAGGGTGACCTTCAATCGTGGGCCTAAGATGTTGATCCACCACTGATCACGTATTCCGTCACCAATATTCAGAACTTCGTAATCACTTACAATTGCTGCGAAGAGCTTCCTAACTTCGACGAGAATATCTAATTCATTGTTGATTACATCTAGCATTGTGATCCTGGACACAGCATAGTATCATTTAAATAGATTGCTATTTGGCTTCCTCGATGTATGTCTGGCTAATAGTCGGTTTTTTGCCTGGGAGATAATGGTCGAGAACCGTTTCTTGTTAAGAGACTTGGGTTAAGAGGGGGGGGGAGCAAATAAACGACTGAATTCTTCTGCATTACATGATACGAAAATACGAAAATACGAAAAAATAAAATAATCTTTTTATGTTCGCGTCTCCGGTTAATGAATTCCGAGAAACCAAGCACGTCACGAGTTTTGAAATCAAATACGATGCAAGTCCCCAATATCGTGGTAAGTTGGAGCCTTTTATACTCCACTGCCATTCGTACTGCATACGCTGGGAAAAAATCTATAGCATTTGAAAAAAAAATTATCAGAAGACCGTGAACCCTATCCTGAGTCAACACCAATGTTCGAAAAGATAATTTCCTCCGATCCGGCTATGTGCATGTCATGGTCACTTTCCAGCGACAGTTCATCATCCAGTGTAACCTCCACCATGTCTTCTATGTCACTCTGAAGGTACCGAGGGCGGTCGTATCTCTCCCATCTCGCCTCTTTAGATAGCGTTGCTGTGTCAGCGTGTTTGCTGCAGAAAAATCGAAAACAAACCTTGCGATATTGGACCGCGATGATTTGCTCGCCTTGAGCCACAAATTGACGTTGCAAGTCTTCTGTGAAACCCTTCGAGCCAGCTAGTCCAGGATCGGCTGGTCCAACAATTGGCATAACAACTCCTGATACTGCCAATGCAGTCGAAAGTGGGATAGCCAATTTTCCATCTAAAGTCTTCTGTTCCCGTGATTGCTCGGTGATTCTAGCATCCAATGCGGTGTGGTAGCCAACCACAAGATATATGTTCTCTCCCTCATCACTAGTACGATCCATCCACTTCTGGACATCTTGCGACTTCACGGCATCCCGGAACCACTGGTTATTGTTGTCCAAGTAATATGTCTTTATTTGCTTGGTGGTAATATGAATCGAAGCATTTGTACGCTTTGACACAGAGGAGGAGAAGAACGTGGTAAGGTCAGAGCCAAAATTACGTTGAGCTCTTAGAGAGTCAACGCCGTCGTACTGGGTTGCAACTTTCTCGATAGTGTTGAAATATTGACCTGGTCTCGGATCGTAGTAATCTCGCTGAGGCTCATCGATATTGGTGACGAAACGTCCTAGCTTAATAGCGGATGGTGGTAGAAAGAAGTCCGAGAGAAGAACGCTCTCACGCATTCTGAAGGAAATCAAATACTGAGAGGGGAGTGGACAGGATGAAAGCAATTACGTGGCACAAGATGGAATGTGAGGAGATAGCTACGACAAGGCAGAATCGGGTTTAGTCTACAAGGGACCGAACGCGCTATGGGCCTTGCGGCTGATCTCGGGTACTTTCTCAGCTTCGGTAATTAGGGCGGATTAATATTAGATACTGTAACACATTTACTCTCAAGAAATCATGAAGACAATGATAATGATAAGTTTTCTCCCAAGTCATTAGTTGCGAATAGACTTATAGGTGTTAATCATACGCTAAATGGACATCCTGATGACAGACGATGGGAAATTTGCCGTCTATCGCATTGACTGGTTTCATATGCGCAGAGATAATTTGAGAGGGGTAAAATAACGTGGTGTCTTTTGATTGGAAGCCTAGAGGGATAGTAGAGGGATAGCTGCTTATGTGATTAAATCTACCGCAGGGAGCACCCAGTAAGCCGACAAAAGTACCAACGACCTTAGAGAAGCGACCTGGTCTCGATGATCATCCTAATTTTGCATCTTCAGGCCAGAATTTTTATGCGGCTGATAAATTTATGCTGTAATAGAGTCATTCCAAGTTCCAAGCCTTTTCTCAAAACATAAATCTCGATAATTCCACACTCCAGAGAGCACCCATCTCCGAGCCAAGCTCCAAAGACAACACGGACGAACAGATACAGATGGCCGACTTAGAAGAAGCGATACAGGTGTCTCGTCGAGCAGTACAAGCCACTCCCAAAGACGACCCCCAACTTATAGGGTGGTTAAACAATCTCGGAAACGATCTCGAACGTCGATATGAGCGAATAGGACAGGTGAACGATCTTGAAGAGGCCATTCAAATGTCTCGCCAGGCCATTCAGGTCGCGCCTAACAACCACCCCGAGATGAAATGGCTATTGAATAGCCTGGGGGATAAGCTCAGACGCCTATATGAACAGAGAGGACAGGCAGAAGACCTTGGAGAGGCAATCCAGGTCTATCAGCAGGCGACCAATACCCCCTCTGGCAACTACCTTAATCTCAAATGGCTCTTAAGTGGGCTTAAAAGCATGCTTGAAATTCGATATGATCAGACAGGACAGATAGAAGACCTTGAAGAGGCGATTCGAGTGTCTCGTCAGGTGATTCAGGCCACGCCTACCGATCACCCCGGGACAGAATGGCTATTATATAGCCTTGGGAATAAGCTCGAACACCGATATGAACAAAGAGGACAGGCAGAAGACCTTGAAGAAGCGATTCAGCTATCTCGCCAAGTGATTCAAACCACTTATGATCATCCTCGGCTTCCAGAGCTCTTACATAACCTCGGGACTAAGCTCACTAGTCGATATGAACGAGCAGGACGGATGGATGACATTGAGGAGGCCATTCAGGTGTCTCGCCAGGCTGTGAGCGCCACACTTCATAGAGACCTTATTCTGGCGAAATTCTTGAACAGCCTTAGTCACCAGCTCGGATGTCGATACAAACGGGTAGGACGGTTAGAAGACCTAGAAGAGGCGATTCTACTCTACCGTCAGGCAATTGAGATCACCAAGACCACAACCAATGACTATCAAAATCTTGCGGTGTTATTCAATGGCCTTGGAAACAGCCTAGAAAGTCGCTATATACAAAAGGGACAGCTAGACGACCTTGAAGAGGCGATTCTACTGTCTCGTCAGGCTGTCGAGATTATCTCTGAAGACCATGTCAACCTTGTGATAATCTTAAATGGCCTTGGAAACCAGCTTGGACTTCGTTACGATCGAACAGCTCAGGTGGATGACCTTGAAGAGGCTATCCAGTTATATCGCAGGGCGATCCGCATGTTTCGCAAGACCGCTATTCATGGTCATCTCACTCTTGCAGGGCTATTAAATAATCTTGGAAGCAGACTAGAATCTCGATTCAAACAAAGAGGACAGATAGAGGACCTTGAAGAGGCTATCCAGTTATCTAGACAGGCAGTTCAAGCAACTCCTGATGACCACCCTGACCATGGCCGGTGGTTGAATAACCTTGCAAATATACTTGAAAAGCGATTCGAGGAAACATCACAGAAAGAGAACCTCAAAGAGGCGATCCATCTATCTCGCAAGGCAGTCCAGAGCACCCCTGAAAATCATCCTCAACGTGCGACGCTGTTATATAACCTCGGGCTCAAGCTTGCAAATCGATATAACCAGACAGGGCAGATAGAAAATCTCGAGGAGGCAATCCAAGTATCATACCAAGCGTTTGAGGCTGCACCGTCGCCCCCGTTAGAACGCATCACCGCTGCAACTTTAGCTCTTCAACTTCTAATTAAGCAAGGGGATTACTCTACCGGCTATACACTAACTGTGGAAGCTATCGAACTGCTAAAGCTCGCCCACCACAGCATTTTGTCTTTTCAGGATCGACAATATATTGCCTCTCATTTTTCTGGCATCGCAACACAAGCTTGCTCTCTTGCTCTTCAAATTGGGCAGCCTCTTTCTGAAGCCCTGCGATTGTTAGAAAGTGGACGTGGTGTTGTTCTAAGCCTTCTTATGAATGACCGGAGCGACACGGCTAAGCTTAAAGATGTCCATCCCGCATTATGTGCACAATACGAAAGTCTCCAACTTGAGGTAAATACTCCTCTTGAGAGCCCCACAACCAAGCAGACGCATGAACCTATCTCCACAAGACGACCAAAAGCTATCGAGGAGCTCCAAAAATGCATACAGGAGATACGACACCTTCCAGGGTACATCTCCTTTCAACAAGGCCCCACTGCGGAGCAAATTCAAAATGCCGCTGATGAGGATAACATAGTCATGGTAAATGTTACCGAGTTACGAAGTGATGCTATCATTATCTGTTCCTCTGGAATTTCATTAGTTCCTCTTCCTACATTCAGCACAGTCCAAGCACAAGGATGGATCAATCAGAACCTAACGATAGCTTCTTCACGGAGGGAAACAGCGCTCAAGAACAAAGCATACTGCGGCTTTTTGTCCTGGCTCTGGCATCATTGCGTAAAGCCTGTCTTGAGTGAGATCAGCCAATTTTCTCACCCATCCCCAGAAAATCTCCCAAGGGTCTGGTGGATTGGAACCGGACTTGCCAGCTCTTTCCCCTTTCATGCTGCATGTGAAACCTGCAATGAACCGACGACTGAAAGAACGTTTAATCGCGTTCTATCTTCTTACACACTTTCAATAAAAGCACTACTACATGCTAGAGAACAGATTTCTATCTCTATCCCATCAAGAAAAGACACTTCAAAGCTACTTATGGTTACCATGGCCACCACACCAGGTGCCAATAACCTACCTGGGGTAAAGGCCGAAAAGTTCGCTGTTCTAGAAGCACTGAGTGATTCTATTCAACTAGATGTTCTCGACCAACCAGACTCCGCAAGCGTGATACGCCGGATTCGGGGGTGTAACATTGCCCATTTTGCCTGCCACGGAATCTCAGACCCAATTGATCCCTCTCAGAGTGGCCTTATACTGCAGACTGCCACTGCAAATCCAATGCAGGATGTACTTAGTGTTCTGAGACTCTGCGAAAATCATTCTACATGTGGAGAGATTGCATATCTCTCTGCGTGTTCAACAGCAGAGAGCAAGGCAGAACGTTTAATGGATGAGGCCCTGCATGTTGTGAGTGGTTTCCAGGTTGCCGGTTTCAGACACGTCATTGGGACTTTATGGCCATCTGATGACAATGTGTGTGTTGAGGTTGCGAGGTCGTTTTATACTGAGCTTTATCGAAATGGTGCTCTGGAGTACACTGACAGAACTGTCGCGATGGCACTCCATAAAGCAGTCTTGGCCGTTTCGACGAGTGTTGACTACCGAAAACGGCCGTTATACTGGGCACAGTACGTCCATTATGGTGCTTGAGAATATATTATGAGCACTTAAAGCATCACCTAGCACACGGCGGGAGTGGACGGCCGGGAAATGAAAATGCCAAATCCTCTTCAGGTGCATACGAACTAGGTCACGTTTCAATTACAACCATGCGATTGATCCCTACACGGACTTTTCCTCCCCCTTGACTTGTATCTTGTTGCTAGCAGTTCTATGAAAAGCTCCACCGGTATCCGAACATGTTCACATTACGGTCAAATAGGTAGTTTTCTCCTGCCCCGAACCTAAATTCTACATTTCGATGAATTGAGTTTTCTAAATCCTAGAACTGTACTTTGAGCTCGAGTCTACATATCTGCCGTTCAGGCACGGCAAAAATCTCCTATTACCTCTCACCAGTACAATATTGACAGTACATCTATCAGCTTGTCAAGTTTCCACCTTTTCGCATCTCTTTCAGACTCAAGCAAAGACTACTCAATATTCACGAGCCAATGGAATCGGGAATAAAGGTCTCTCGCCTACGAATATCCAGAGCTTCCAAATACGGCTCCATGTACAGAGACTCCCGTCAGCTTGACGTGTAGCATATTTAGTTAGTACCGTAATTTCGCCCACAAGCATCTCATCTGCCGCGGCCCACTCGATAGAAAGAACAGCAGTCCAGGCAACCTCATAGAAGTCAAGAATATTAGGGATATTGCGATCTGCCATAATGCGAAGGGAAGTACAAAGCGCTGGTAGACAGGTTGGTGTCACGATAGGGTATGGGGTTCGCCTAGGTACATCGATAAGGAACCTGGAATTGAGTCACAAAAAAATAAGACCTGCGTGAGAAAAGAATGGGCAGAGATATAATCACATACAGGAAGTGTTCCTCTAAACAAGAATCAGTGCCTTCTAATTCCTATTGTAGTAGGGAGACCACTCCTCTCTACTAGTTACATGGGGCTGTCTACGGTTGCAACTCTATAGTCGGTTTCTGTTTGTGATGATTCTTGGCGGCTTATTATCTTGTTATCGTCAAGATTGATTAAGACATGATCGCTTTGTATAGACTTCATGGTGGAGTCAACCAAAGACGTGGCTAGACGAAGTAATGACCTTGTGAAAAGAGGGGAAAAGTTTCATCTTATCGCTTTGTGCACTTGACCGCCCTGCTAAATTTTTTCCTGATGAGGCTCCCAAATGCGACTTTTGCAAATCACTTTTGGGTCTCCAGATGAATTGCTGGACAGGCGCCTGATAGAGCGGCGAGCCGCCTAGGATGAAATCGTGGGCGCTAGGTGACCACCGACATACAAAAGCTGTTGTACGTTTTGGTTTTGGTTTTTTCTCCCCTAGGTTTTCGATTGATAGAAACATTAATTTTTTATTTCTATTCAATTCAATGAGTTTATATTACCGTTTTCTGTTGTGTCGCGATTCGTACTTATAGAGCGGCACTCGGAGCTGCAGGCGAGAGTTTCTAAGACACAGTTTGGCATACGAAACCCGGAGCTGGGGGACCAGGACTGTTGTACTATTGTAATGACCTAGAGTTGTTGTGGCCTACACTTGTATCTAGCTTCCGTCTCAGCTTCCTTCTTCCTCAAGCTATTGTTTTCGTCAAATCGCTACTACTACATTTGCCTGATCGCTACGTCGTATCTTGGTCTCTGTATCTGAGCATCCTCACGATTATATTCGTAGATGCTATTATTACTAAAACCAGCCTATCGGAAAGGTTGAAATTGGGCTTGTAGATACAGTGGCGTTGCAAAAGTTTGAAACCTCTTATTGCCCACCATTATCAACCGCCTTCTAACGGCAGACTAGTAGCTACTGAAATGGAATAAATTGGCCAGTCCATTCCATTTTAGGTAGCTTCTTGTTTCCCTTGGCAAGAAGAGATCAGGGCGGTCAACAGGTTGTTTTAAACTTTTGCAACACCAATGTACCACTTTATGCCATATACCGAAGCTTCAGAAAGCCGCCCTACTAATCAAAGCAAATGATCTGTCTGTATTGTTGGCTGCCAGTGTTGATGAGTTGTCCAATATAGGAGGGTGATGGTCCCTCTCATTCGAGCCATACAATAAGGGGCTGGTATTGCGCTTGTGTGCTTTCACTTGCTTCATGTCACTTCGTTCTTTCTGTGACCAGGGTTTTGTGGCGCTGGGCTAGATCGCTACCGAAGCCCATAACGGTGTTCTGATCAGCCACAGGTGGTCACCTCGCATATCATTGACAACAGTACCCGCCGCTTAAACGCTCATTCGTGGGCTTTCGGTATCATAGGGATCGCTTATAATGACGGTTCATGATGAGTGCGGGGGGTTCATTGGCTCACCCTCTCACAGTTCCCGAAATGGTATTTAAGGAACGGTGTCACTATAAAGTTTTGTCAACCACGGTTTGTCAACGTCAGGACTTCATTCTGCTAAGCTCGAGAAATGGTGCGTCTGTTATGGAGGAGACTAATAATACGTCATTCCGCTATTATTTTCCAGAGCCATCGGGGCTTTCTCCTTGTGTAATCATCACCCTTCCTGTTGGCCTCTCGCGACAATATGACGACAATTCGGATCGCAGATTCTGTGTCTCAGGGCGATGGATTGGGGCGGACTACGGCTCAAGACGACGGAAACGCGGCTACTGGGGTTACAATGTCCCGCACGCGGTCTGTCGCGCGATCCGACGTGGCCGAAAATGATGATAACATATACAATATTCGTTCCCGACCGACGCTACCTGAACGGATTGGTGGCAGATCGACCGTGCCAGAGGAAGCAGACGAGAACCCCAGATTGCAACAAGCTGGTGACTTCAAAGAGAAGCAGGTGTGCAGACCCCTGGAAAGGGAAATTTTGGTACATTCTAGCTCACATTCAATAGATTTTCAAAGGCAGAGTACTTCTGTGGCTGTCTTATCAATCGATTGGCGTCATCTACGGTGACATCGGAACAAGTCCGCTCTATGTCTACTCATCAACGTTCAGTTCGGCACCATCAAGGCAGGACCTCGTGGGCGTACTGTCGATAATTATCTGGACCCTATTTATTATGGTGACGGTGAAATACGTGCTGGTTATCCTTCGCGCAGATAATGATGGTGAAGGGGGTACATTCAGCACGTACGCTCTTCTCAGTCGTTATGCAAGTACACCTTTGGGGGCTCGTATAATCAGGGATGGCAACTGACTTACTTTTAGATGAATATCACCCACCGCGATCCGAGAGAGGCCTCACTAGTCCGGATGAAACGATACTTATCAGGCGACCTTGAACGTGCCGGCCAAAGAGTACGACATCGTATCGAAACTAGCAAATTTGCGAAAGGGCTATTGAAGGTTATAGGGGTATTGGCAGTGACCATGGTTCTTTCTGACGGTCTGCTTACCCCAGCACAGTCAGTATTGGGAGCCGTTCAAGGGATTAAAGTCGTACAGCCTAATATCTCCAAAGGCACCGTGATTGGCGTCACTGATGCTATCCTGGTTTTGTTATTTTCCATTCAGCCGCTCGGAATAACAAAGATTTCCTATGCATTCTCGCCAATCATCATTATCTGGCTCGGTTTTAATGCGGTTTTTGGGATCTACAACATCGTCCGGTACGATGCAAGCGTTTTTCAAGCGTTCAACCCCGCTCTTGCGTTTGATTTCTTAGCCCGTCGTGGTGAGAAGGGATGGAGAATGCTTGGCGGTGTTCTCCTAGCATTTACTGGGGTGGAGGCCCTGTTCGCAGATCTTGGAGCTTTTAGCAGAAGGGCCATCCAGATAAGCTGGCTATGCTACACGTTCCCATGCATTTTGTTGGCATATATCGGGCAAGCAGCATATATCAGTGTCCACCCTGATGCATACTCGAACCCTTTTTTCAATGCCGCGCCACCCGGCACAATCTACCCGTCCCTGGTGATTGCAATTCTTGCTGCCATTGTTGCCTCGCAAGCCATCATAACGGCAACCTTTCAAGTAAGTCAAGGATAATTCTGCGAGATATGATCTAATAGTGCCAGTAGCTGCTCGCACAGGTGATGAAACTCTCGTACTTCCCTCAGATCAAAGTCGTCCACACTTCTCGCACTTTCCATGGCCAACTTTATGTTCCAATCGCGAACTGGCTGCTGATGATTGGTACGATCCTGGTGGCATCAATCTATAATAACGTAAGTTACAGAACTGGACATCCCACTATGCATATAATATTCAAATTCTCACTCTCCCGGCAGACGACGTCGCTGGGAAATGCATATGGTGTCTGTGTCATGTTCGTGACGTTCTTTGACACGTGCATGGTTTCTCTAGCAGCTATGTTCGTGTGGCGAATTAGCCCCTATCTCGTTTTTCTCCCGTGGCTTATAATAGCATGTTTGGATGGCACCTATCTATCTTCAGCACTCACCAAAGTCCCCTCAGGCGCCTGGTTTACTATCGTGCTCAGCTCATTACTTGCTATGCTCTTTCTTTTGTGGCGATATGGTAAAGAGCAGCAATGGTTTGCTGAATCCGAGGACCGCTTCCCTACGTCACACTTCGTTACAACTGAATCGGACGGTCAGATGCGACTCAGTAACCAATATGGCAACACTCCCATCAATTCAAGCCGCGGCCTTGGAATATTTTTTGATAAGGCTGGCGAGACTACCCCGATAGTATTCAGCCAGTTCGTTCTCAAGCTTACGTCAATTCCGGAGGTAACTGTATTCTTTCACTTGCGACCCCTTGAGATGCCTTCGGTGGCCCCTGAGAGCCGACATTCAGTTTCTCGTCTTTCTATCCCAAATTGCTATCGGCTTGTTGTTCGATATGGATACAATGACGTGATCATTGCACCCAACCTTTCAAGCATCATTGTTGATCAAATTCGGAGATATTTATCAACAGCGGAGGTGTCACAACTTGAACAACAGCCGACTCCGTCATTGCCTATCGAGGCAGCCACAAATGAGAGCTCCAACGGTCGCCCATCAGAGAACCGCTCCGATAACATCCCCGCGACGGACGATGGCGAAAATGGTAGTAAACAATTGAATCATCAGTTAGCCAGATTGGAGGAAGCGTGTGCACACAAAGTTCTATACATAATAGGTAAGGAGGAGATGAAGATCAAAACTGAAGCTTCATATGTTAGGAAGACATTGCTGTACTTGTTCTTGTGGATCAGGGATAATACACGAAATAAGATGGCTAATCTTCAGGTGCCTACGGACAAGGTGATTGAAGTGGGATTTTTGAAGGAGATATAATCTTACAAATCCACACCCTTGCAAAAGATTCGGGTTTGGATGGGTGAGGAGAAGACATGAAAAATCTCATGATGGGATGGATCATCGCTGTCTTTGAAATCTCCAGCGTAACCATTTCCTTTTTTTTCAAGATGTGGTACATGTTCCAAATAGATATAATAGAGATAGCGAAAATAAGGACTAGATTTTAGCTGGTAACGGGATATCTGAAGTGTGCTCCTAATAAGGCGAGGAAACGTTCAATCGAAGCTATCGGAACTATCTGGTTGATATGACATTCTGGTAGAGCATAAACTAGAAAGGAAATATTGTGCAGAACACTGAAGAGCAAACAATACTATTAGCCTTTCCAACGTAGAACCTAATAAGCAAGAAAAATCACGAAACCAGAACTCCTACTTCAAACTAAGAACTAACTCCTCGGCCATATAGCCCCAAAAGCCCGCGTAAAGGCGACGGGAACGGCTGCCATCAAACTTGAGAGTGCGCACCATTCGTTGCTGCAGCAGTTCCATTGTTGGCACCATGAGCCGTTAAGTTGGTCTTCTCGGGATGGGTAGTAACTGCTGGCTCATCGAGATAAATATTGGCGATTTCCAAGCACAAGGCACAGAGCGTCCAAAAGCTTTGAGAAGAAATTAGAATGTGTGCTCACATATAGAAAGGGAAAGGAGGCTGATTTTAGCGTGTCAACTCACAATGACAGGAAAGTGAACGCTTCAATAGAATTCCTTCTCCTGCAGGCACCACTGTCCCAACTATAGTAGTGGCATGTGACCCCATTCGCAGAGCCATCAGTTTGCGCAACGAAGATGAATGCTGATAGCCATCTATGTGAGAATTAGCTTCGCGTACTTCAATAGGGTAATAACTTATTCCAGCAATTTTGAAGATATAAATGAGAATGATTTGACTTACAGGGCATAGAAGATTATGTCCAATGGAAGCATATAACCACGGTTGCGATGCATCAATGCGGTGAAGAGAGATGGAATGTAGAAAACCGCAGTGAGCACCGACTACGCGAACAAGTTAGTACTAGGGATGCGAGCAATTGCAAATATCGAAAAAAGCTCAAATGCTCACAATAACAAGGGTGAAAATGACCCGGTAGCCCTTCAGGTGATCGGCAACCCATGCAGTAAGGCCCAAGGTGATTACTGCACTGATCCATAGGAGCAGGCGAACGCCAAAAAGAGAAACGGTCGAATAACGTCTGCGTGATTCCCCATAATTGAGAGTGTTGAATTTCGTAGTTGGGACGATTAGTTTTTGCGAGCAAGCAATTGCCTTAGACAATATACGCTGCGAAATGAGGACTTTGAAGTCAATGACGCTACCGCGAAGCTATATAACCGAGAGACAAGATAGTAGAACTGTTGCTAATTTTTCAGCTATCAGGTGATAGGCCGCCGATAGCCGAAATTCTCGTGCAATCTGTGTTGATCAAGCTCAATGTGGCGTAGTGTTATAGCAGGTCGGCTGATCGATCGCTTCCGTAAATGGAAATATTGGGTGATTTGTTTTTGGCTAACTAAAATCTAAAATAGGTTTGATAGCTTACAGAGCGCAAGAAAAGAAACATAATTCTCCTCAAAATCGACTTTGAATTTAATTTGCAAGCCAGAGGCTATCATTCGGAAAAAAGATAATCTTCGTAGCCCGTTAGAACAGAGTCGCTGTAATACAGATTAAAACGGGAGGAAGGGATGCATCACTAAAACCCACGCAATTCACCAGACCCTCCAAACAATATTATCACTGAGCCGATTTTGAGTGTCCTAAGATGCTGCAAATTCTTAGTCGTTAAAGAGTAGAATTACCAAGTACCATGGAGAACTGACTAGTATTCGTGATGCTATATGTCTAAGTATCGTATAACTATAAAACTGGAGCATTCTTGGAGAGGTCCACATATTTGATTGATAACGTCAACTGTACCTTATGCCCTGGCTAGACTCTCGTCGACCCAATGTAAACGCATGATTGATCATCTGCACGACCCAAACATCTATTAGCGGATTTGGTTACCAAGGTACCAAGGTACCGTCGCGACCAATAAGACCAATGAGCATAATCATGGTGATTCACTGACGTGCATTTCGTCTCTTAGCTCTTATGACTATTTCAACTTTCGAACATGGCTACGATATGCGATTGGCTCCGTGGACAGCGTTGACCTCACCTTTCAATCACGGATTCCATTGGTACGGGTAAGTCGCAAAGGCGATTCCGACCAACCGGTTGTTTCACCGGGAGAGTCGGAAACATGTACACTAGTTTGGGCTGATCATCGCGTTCCGCTCTTGAACAAAAGGCGCCAGAGGGAAATGGATACGGATGGGAGAGTGACACGATAATAGGTGGTGATCGGATGAGAGGAGGCGAGAGCGAAGCTAACTCCAAAGGCCACCCCACGGTTGCCTGAATGCCTGAGGCAGCAGTGGCACCACAACTCAACAAACTCAACAAAGCGCTTACAACGAAAGTCAAAATTTAGCGAACAGGCCTTTCAAATTGAACCTCAAGTTCATATCATCCCTAGCTCATAATTTTTGCTGCCTTTGACCGCTGTTTCAAGACGCGCAGCTTAACAACATTAACGGCCAGCTCAGCAACGCCTTTGTACGATTTGCATCCTATCGCCATTACAACCGCCTGGTCCGATCTTGATCATCTGGTCTCAAAGAACAGAATGAAGATTCTCGGAAACTTTTGGCTCTCCTAGTAACTGCTGGAGTATCCGCCGCTTTTGGAGTCAGTTCTGGCACCAAATTGTAATTCGATCATATACCAACTACGGCACCTTTCTCTCGCAAAGGGTCTTTGACTTGCGTCCTGGTTCGCATGGTGACAAAATACTTGACATTCTTATTATATTCCCTTTTTCTGGTATTTTGCATAGCGTTGTGTTGTGGCAGCTCGGTGATCAAGTTGGTACAGAGAAATATTGTGGTTTTGTCTGAACTTTGCAGTAGGGGCTCTGGAGATGGTGGCTTCACGATCGCAACGCGCAATGGGAAGTAAGATGGACCAGCAGGGCTCTACAAAACTACGGACGGGTCAATCATGGAACAAGATGTTTGGTTTTGGATGGGTGTTTTTCTTCTTCTTTTGGAGACTTCCCAAATGGCAATACCCGGAGATCTGTGACCGCGTGCAAGATGTGATGTCCGAGATGAAGATATCAAAGATGGAAAATTAGCATAAACTACTTCGTAATAATTGAGATGCTGTCTAAAGAAAACCGGTGACTTCATACAACTCAGCTTTCGTTCATTTTAGAAACTAAGCTTGGCCCCGCCCCCAGTGGCCCGCAAAGTATGAGTTGAGGGGCCAAATGACGATCGGGCACAGCACCTCAAACACGACTTTTTGTTTCCCATAAAATTTAAAAATCTGCGTATATACAATAAAATCAAGATTATATTGTAGAGACAGAGAACTAAACGGTTTAGGTCTTTGCTCTGAAATAAAAATCGGTCGTTGCGATCGTCGCATACAGGGCTATCCGTTACCAATCCGATACTGGACTATCCCTGCCGTATACGTTATACCATGCAAATCCCGACACAACACGCGGCTAAAGCCCCCCACAATGATGCTACAAGGTCACCGGGGTCAGTGTCACATTTTCCTCGCGAGAACGCCACCGTATGAAGCGACGCGCAATAGTTACACTACTGGGAGCTGTCTACCAATATCGATATATTCTTCCCCTAGTTTGACCACCGTCCAGAAATACAAATTCCGAGAAAATGTTCACTTCTCACCTGCAATCCAGGAAGCCACTGTCAAATCCACCTCCGGAACGCCCCCGCAAAGCTTTTCGGCCCCCGCATCGCCAGATTGCCTTCCGAAAAGAATATATCGCGACCTCAGAAACACGTCTGGTTCTTAAACCACAAGGCGACGCCCAGTCAGCCGTTTCATTCAAGATTATTGACGATGAAGACGGTTCTGTGAAGTTCACCGTGAGTGGCAGGAAGTATGGCAATCGCGCTTGTCGAGAATTTCGTGACTCTTCAGGGCTCCCCCTGTTTGAACTTCACCGAAAAGCTCTTTTTACGCATTCCTGGTTCATTACATTGCCCGGAAGCGATCATGCGAGTATAGCGAGAGCTGCTCCAAAATGGTCCTTTACCCAGGGGTTCGATGACTTCAGTCTATCGTTCGAGAATCAAGCTGCCGTGGACGCGAAAGGACAAGAAGAGAGACGAGTTGAGTTGAATATCGAGAGACATGGCACCATCCTAGCACTGTATGATGTTGTGGACGGAGATAGGAAGGTGGCGGTAGTGCGGGAAAGTATACAGCGCAACGAGATTTTACCTTTTATGAACTCTCGATGGCGCAGGTATAAACCTATTCTCGAGGTCACCGTGACTTCCGGGGCGGACATGTCAATGGTAAGGCTAAATACACATGACCATTTGCATACTTCTATGAGCTCACTATTGAAACAGGCTGCTGCCATTGCTGTGATCTTATCAGATTGGGTGTTTAAAACAGGTTGGGTAATCTAGTAAGCTTAAGATAGATATTCGTGACCATGACTGCATGCGGATTATGCTGAGGGCAAGGTAGGAAGGGATATCGAATTGCGCTCATGGGCATCTTAGTAACTGAACACTGGTACGGGTATCAAAGTATCAAGTGGAGAGGGCGGGGTGGCACCTTTGAAGAGTAAATATCCAGGTAGCATAATATACCTAGGTATTAACTAGTACGTGCCTATATTTTGGGATTTATTTTTGGAACCGGTAACCTTTTCACATTAGCGAAGATACTATCTAGGCAGTGTGGGCACAACGCCAAGTTAACGTAAAACATCTGAACAACACAATGTTCTCTGACAGCTTTGAGTAGATCCGAGCGAGCAGTCAGGTGCTGGATAATTGAGGTGACCCGATTGATACTTCTTTCCATGAAGCATTCCAGTGCCATGAATATTAGTATTAGCTAATAGACAAACATACCTGGTCCCGACTTTTAGCGAAGTGTTCGATTTTAGCGAGCATAAATGGAAAGCTAATACGTCAAACATTTGAATATCTTTCCCATCGATATAGCCTCCCGGGCCATCTAGCATATTTTTGAGTCCGTGCTCTTCATGATTGGTAGGGGCTTATACGATACCTTTCCCATCTATAGTCTGAAAATTTGTCCATAGAGTAGCTTTCGTGAATCTGATACTGGTATTTGTCAAACTTTCTTGTGTATTGAATCAGATATTTCCCCGAATCTTCTGACAAGCTTATCGAAAGCTTTATGCCGCATGTATCGCAGCATGAGAATTGAGGCAGTGAACGAATATGTACACCTAAGTGTTGAAGGGCATCTCTGTGGGGGCAAAGCATAATTCTTCTTTTGCCAAGGTAGGGCCATTTGAAAGAGACAGAGTATTCGAAATGAAACACAAGAGCGCCGCTCTCCTCAAGAGAAACTGATATCACCAGTGAATATACTAGCTCGTCCGATAAGCTACTAAAGTATTCACAGCGGTGCCAGTTTGGGAGATGCTTTGTAATTTCTGGGCTTATTCCGTTCGAGTAGCCTGAATCCCGCAGTTCGTGAAAGAGTTGTGTTATTCTTTTCGGGGTAAACCTCACGCATGGACAGAGTACAATAATACCTGGCCATTTGCAGTGTTCCTTGCGTGGTCTACCAGTCGGCCATTCGGCGTAGTCCTCGAGCTCGAATTCACTCCGTGGGTGTAGTTTGATACATGCAACACAGTATTTCCAATTGCACCCTGTCCAGCCGTTGGACTCTAGCCTCATAAGAAGTTGCTTCCGGGTGAAGTAATCAGTAGTGGAATCCAGGCCATCAGAATAAGGATATCGGAAATCAGGAGATTTTAGAACATATTCAAATTGATGATAGAATTTTTTGCAGCTTAGAGTCAGGCAAGCCTGTTGGATAACCGAGAGGTAGTCTAAAATGATTAGCATCAACTCCGGGGGGAGATCAAGAATTGAGCTTTTTTTTCTTTTTGAGAAGAAACTTCCGATAAACGATATCATTATTTTGCTGTGATACCCAGGAGATAGAGCGCCGCTTCAAGGCCTATATTTTGTTGTTTAAAGGTTCGATACTGAGAAATTGAACACTAGAACGGAGAGTGCAGCCAGACAGACGGGAGCCTTGGAAATGGGGATTTAAGTCAGGATTGTAGAAATATGATGGAGATAAAGGTCTATTGATATATCTGGAGCGAGTTTAAGTAGTGGTGACATACCTACATAATAAATCGTAATTGATGTGACCGAGAGGGAAAGTTTCAATTTTAATGACCAAAAGCGGGTCGGGGCAGAATTCAGCCTGCACAATTGATCTCATAACCGGGTACCACCAATGAGATGCTCAAAATAAATGAATATGTGAGTTATGCTGAAAAGAAGAGCATGCTGAGGCTTGGCGCCCTGGTATAAATGTAGACGCGCCCCGCCTTCCATGTCTGAATAACTTCGCTCTTTCCTACTCTATCGCCAGATCCCTACCTCCAGAATATGGGCGGGATAACTTGTGCGATATTTCGCGTATTAAGTAATTTCCTTTGAATTTCTATTCAATTTAATGGGTTTTCATTGCCGTTCACTGTCGCGTGGCGATCCGTGCTTATAGAGGGGGTTGGCACAAGGAGCTCTTTCCAATCCAAGGGCACCGTTGGACGTCGCGCCAAGAAATCACTATTGTAGAAAAAAAAATTAACAGTTGTAGTATTTTCTATCTTTTAATCCCAAGAATCAAGCAGAGATCCGCACAAAGAATCCATACTACGAGTTATTTACCGCCAAAAAGGGCGGCAAAATGGCCAGCTCGAACTCGACAGAATGGTATACAAACCTTACCACACCTCCTACAATACAACCCACAAGCGACAAATCATCAGAACTCGGCTGGCATCTCGGCCCCCCCCTTAGTTTCGCCGCTGTGAACCCAGTATTATCCGAATGGATAAAGAAAATCTTTCCGTTCATGCCAACAAACAGGACATTGGCCCATATCAAGAAAACTGTCGATGAAATCCGCAAATTCTACCCTGGAAATGACGAGAAACCTCTGACGCAAGAAAACCTTGACGCCCTGATAGAATCCTTGCAGAAAAATGTACAGGACAAAGAGGATTGGATTCAACTACTTATCCGTCGGTTAATAGAAGCCAACATGGACAACGACATTCTCACTAAGCAACTCGAGCAGGTGAATCTACGTATCAGTCAACTGCAAGATGCCTGGAATGACGAGGCCGAAACTTCGAAAATGCTAATTGCAAGCCTCGATGAGGAACGAGCCAGAAGCTTGGACCTTATGCGGGAATTGGCCCGCAGAGAAGAAGAGATCGAAGAAGCCCGGAAGACCATGCTTAATTTGAACAAATGGTCAAGGCAGCGCTTGGGGATTAAGACGAAAATGAGCTTTAAAAGTAGGACTTGGAGCATTAAAACCCGGAGTTTGTAAGCCAAGATTGCTGTACTATATTCTTACAATGTTCACGAGTGGACAACCACTTTTATTTATAACAATATTCCCGGTCCACCGACGTCACATTTTCCCTATATATACGACACTGTTTAGGGTCCAAATTTCATTTGAAGCTGAATATTGAATAGGCGGGGAAGCCGATGCGGAGAAAGTAGTGGCTTAGTCGAGTATTTATGCAAACATCGAGCTCCCTTTTCTCTTGCCATTCATTTAAGCTCTGTGTAATGATATTGTGGAAAAGCATTGGACCATTTTTTGACACCTGGGCACGGTATGACATATGAAACGGAACGCTCTTAACCAACAAGTCTTCCAGAATTTGGATCAATTTTCTGTCGACCTTTGAACTCCACATTCAGGGACCTGGTGCCTCCGCGGATCAAATTCTGGAACCAATCTGGGGCTCCTCGCTGAACGCTCTGTTAACGAATATTCTGTTAGAGAATATAGTAACTCACCAAGCCTGCAAAAAATCTAAATATGCCTGGAAGGAAAATAGTTTTGCCTAGACCACTGTCAAGTGCTTCAACGATGGCGTCGACTACAGTTTCAACGTGCAAAAGAGGCATCAGGAATCGGGACTGATTCGTCTCTCCCTTAAATAACGGCGTTTTTGTGAAGCTCAGCACTGCAAGAGAAGTTCGAACTTTTGGTGCATTCAGCACTTGTAGCTCTTGGGCCAGGCACTGCATACTCAGTATGTAGGAACACTGAAAAAGGGGGGATTTGAGCCATACCTCGTGAAACGCGATCAACCCTGCTTTTGATGCCGCATAGTCAGCAATCCCCGGAGGTGGTATATATGCGCTCATAGAAGCTATATTGACAACGTGTCCGTGGTTTCGTTGAATCATGTTCGGGAGAAATTCCTTCGAGAGTAAAAATGGCGCTAGTAAGTTGGTCTTCAGCGTGATGATGTTGTCGCTATACGTCCCCTCGACGACAGTTCGACCGCGTGACAAGCCAGCATTATTCACTATCACTATTCAGCTCGCGGAACTTGGGCGTCATTTTGCTTTCACTGACCTAAGACAGTTGGATGTCCCACCTCCGTTCTAATCTCTTTGCAAACATTCGCAATTTCCATTTCGTCACTCAGATCACACTTGCGGTACATGATGCGTTTTGTTCCTTCAAGACCGCTTTAGTTAGTCTTAAATTACATATGTCTTTTCCTGAAATCAGGGTCATCTAAATACCGGGCTCAAATGTCAAAGGGATTATATCCAACACGATCACCTTTGCCCCCAGAGCAGCAAGACGTTGAGAAATTCCCGCACCAATTCCACCGCTTCCGCCAGTCACCACCACCACCTCCTTCTTCCAGTCCCATGTATCATCTATCACCCAGTTATTCCGACTTTTGACGTTCAACCATTCATTGAGCCAAAGGGTGATGCTGGCCGCTGCAGTCAATTGAACCAGCCTTTCGTATGGAATAAGGGTGCTCAATCTGCCTGTCTGCACTAGATAGAGAAATATCGACGTTACCACCGGATGAAGGAGAGTTTTTCGTAGGCCCCCTATAATCGGGTCGATGTAAAGACCCTCACGGGGGAAAATACTTGAGTTGCTCATGGTCTTGGTTAGGGCTGGGAGATAAGATCAAAAGAGGGGGTATAGGCAAGCGGGAGGGAATTACCCTTTACTGTTTGATTCATGTATAAATACACAAAAATAAGAATCCATAATTTAGGCCTATGGAGAGAAAAAGTAGGCGTGCCTCGATATCGTCCAATAATATGGCCGCGCGACCGTTCCGAAGAGATGCCGGGAGGGATCCGGCTAGTATAGACCGAGGGGGTTTCCTCAATGACAGCTACAGCTGAGTCAAGGTACACGGAAGCACATGCCGAATGGGTGATACTACATATTATAAAGGCATTCTCTTAGCATTCACCCGACCACGGCACTTCACTTATTCGTAATCCGGAATAACTGCCGTCCAGACACCCAATTTTCCCTTTCCAGAACCCCTTGAAGAGAGTCCTATTCCCCAGACAAGCCGGATTTAATCAAATCCTATATTTCATGAAGTGTGGGAAAATGTCGCGCAGAATACCAGTCTCTACAAAGCTGCAATTCTTGATCACCTTTTTATTTCGAACTTTACCTTGCGCAGTGTCCCGGATTTTAGGGGCCGCTGTCCGGGCCTGGCTGAAAAACTTACCACTGGGAGCATCCATCTGGAATGGATTTGCTGGGGCTCTCATGACCAATACTCCCCTCAACAGCTACAGGCCATTTTACCATCCACTATCGACACGTATAATGCATGGATCTTATCTCACGGTGCCATTCCCGCAGTTGATGTTTTAGTGGCTGACAATTCAACTCGATTGCTGTGGGTTGGTCCAAAATGTGCAAGCAATGTCGTGCTTTTTTTTCACGGTACGATGTCGGATCATGTCTTGCCTGAGACTCACTGACCTTATAGGTGGCGGATATGTGATGCCTCTTTCAAAGGGACATCTGGACTGGATGGCACATATAAAAAAAGAGGCATCTAGCAATGGAATTGAACTCAGTGTGTGTATTCTCGAATATGGTTCGTACGGTGATTCAAAACGAAGAAAAAAAGGGGGAAGATGCTAAATTTTCAGATTTAATTCCTGCCAACCCGTATCCAAGGCAGATGTCACAGGGAATTTTCGCACTTAGGTATCTCCTAAACTCAGGATATGCGCCATCCAAGGTAGGGTTTTGCTGCCCTTCAAAATCAAAACTAGTCGACTATTTCTCATTAAGGTGACTCTCAGATTGTTTTCGGAGGTGATTCTGCAGGAGGTCACCTATCTCTAAGTCTCATGGCGCATCTACATCGTCATCGTCCCTCTGACCTTATGAAAGAGACTGTGATTGATTTGCAGGGTGCAATAAGAGGGTGTTTCCTTGTATCTCCTTTGACCTCTTTCAACTTCAAGACCCCCTCCTATTCGAGATGGTTCAGTGCCGATGTTCTGAGCCAGAAGAATGTTTCAAAATGGGGAAACTATCTCGTGGAACACTCCCCTGGCAAGAGGAGATTTCTTCCGGGAATGCGTGGGGAATGTCCTTGGATGTACCGGAGACCTGGTGGAAGGGCTTTGCGGCTGTCGAGCGTATTATCATAACCGGAGGCAATGAAGAAGTTTTCAGCGATCATATACAACACTTGGGTGAAATGCTGAAAAGGACAAGTGAGAGAGGTGTGACAGTTCATATGGCCAATGAGACCCACGATGGGCCATTGATGGGCTTTGCGGCTGGGAGGCGTCCAAGTGAAACTACGGAGGCTATCACAGATTTCATCATATCATGTTTTGAAGAATGATCTGCTATATATTTCCAAGTTTACTGATAGGTTCATGAAAGTTGAGATGTTTTTTTATCTGCCAACCTACTCTCTAATTGAAACTCCTCAAGGATCAGTGCGTAGTTGAAGCCCTCACCGTATAACCCGTAACGAAGGAGATTTTTATTTCTTCCGGCAGGAGTGGTCGCGGCCATTCAATAACACTGCATACCAATTATGTAAATCCAATCATGCACAAGGCTTGTTGCCAACAATGTTAGTGTGGGGTAACTAGGCTTCTGTGGGGATTGTGGACACTGCACCGGGATGGTTCCGTACCGGGCCCTCCGCCTGCATTACGCACTGCTTTCCTAGAAGCCTCTCGGATAATCGGCATTTATCCTCAGGTATTAAAAGCCTGGAGTGTTGGCAAGCTGGCTTTGAAAGTGCTCATTGCGATGTTTGTCGTCTTTTCGGTCCCCATCGTATTTCTCCTCATTCTCTATTTTCGCAAGTTTGGTATATTCAGCACAATGGCAGAACATACTCTTGACTGGCTCCGAGAGAAGGCGACCGGCTGGAGTCATAAACCTCCAGTAAACAAGATTGACACTCATCATCATTTTGTGCCAGACTTTTATGCCAAGGGTAAGTTCCTGACAATCCTCGAATCTTGATTCCCCATTAAATCCATAAAAGCTGTCGAGGAGCAAGGAGGTGACCCGAGTGGCTGGCCGACTCCCAGTTGGAGCCCCTTGGCTTCCAGATTATTGATGAAACATGTTGGAGTGCAGACAGCTGTGCTTTCTGTTCGGCCCCGGGCGCCTGTATTGTTCCAGACCGCCACAAACGAGCCGAACTGGCAAGAGCATTGAATGAATATGCTGCTGATCTACGGCACCGTGAGCCTGAACGCTTTGCCTTCTTTTTATCCTTGCCCAATATCCTCGACACCGAAGATGCCCTCAAAGAGATTGCACATGGCCTAGATTATCTTCATGCCGATGGGGTAACGCTGTTTACTCGCTACGGCTCCTCTAACACCTATCTTGGCCATCCTGACGTGGAGCCCATCTGGGCCGAACTCAACAAGCGAAGTTGCGTCGTGTTCATTCATCCCACCCACCCGGTCGATACAAAGCCCGTCAACCCAAAGTTGCCACAGCCATCCATTGACTATCCTCATGAAACGACCCGCACAGCGATGGATATGATTACCAACGGCACGCGCCTCAAGTTTCCCAACTGCAAAGTCATATTGTCACACGCAGGCGGAGCCCTACCGTATTTGATATCGCGCGTGACAACGCCCATGAAACGCGCACCGGACTTTGCGGTATCGCATCGTATGGGAACAACTTATGAAAAAGCAATGGAGTCATTCCGCAGTTTCCACTTTGACTTGGCTCTAAGCTCGTCGCCGCAGGTTTTGGACATGCTCTTGAAGATGGTTCCGCACGACCACATTTTGTACGGGAGCGACTTTCCATATGCCCCAATTCCTGCCTACCCAGCATTTCTCGAGGAACTTGAGTCGTATGAGATGGATGAGGAATTGAGGAAGAAGATCAATTTTGGGAATGCACTCAAGCTGTTCCCACAGCTAGCAAGCAGGAGAGACTCCACTTTGTAATCGCCTAATGAGGCTTTTCATCTAGCCATATACTAGCTATTTGATGCAGATACAAAGTGAAGCAATTGGCTACATCTTGAATAGACAGCCCATGATAAATTTTGGATCAAGGCTTTGTACACAGTAACTACTGACTAATTAAAATAATGAGGTCCGCTACAGCAGGAACCTTTCTGTAACTAAGAAAACAAACTTGGGATTACTCCATCGCCCCGCTAGCACTCTTCACTCTCAAACAAATGAAAAATAGACAATTCAGAACTTTTTGCCTCACTTTTCGGAATCAGTTAATATCACTTGGGGTTGTACCAATAGATTGTTTCGAAGAAGTTCAGCACGTCAACTTTCCAGCTCTAGGAATTAGATATTGCACTGTATATAAACATTTTGAAGATGTGTTTTCCGGAGCCCGCCGTACAATTGCCACCAAGCCGGTAGATTCATTGTCCAATGCATGTATAACTTTATCATAAGCCCGGTAAATCGTGTTTCTATCGTGTTTCTATTTCATTCCTCTTTCTGGCCCTTGTTTTTGAACTTCCTGACATCCTGTTGACTCGAACGATCCCAAACCACAATATCGGTGCCATGGATCCGATCCATAATTTCCAATGTGCTGTAGTTGACGCGAAACTTCTCATGGTGAAGATCATAGATTGATGCGGACGGTAGCTTGAAGAAATCGTAGCCACTATGGTCGGCCGCAGCTTGGTAAAACTCGAAGACAGAAAAGGCCATAAGCGACAAAAAGTGAGTCCCCTTCAGAGTCAAAGGCAGAACAATAAGAAGAACGTTGGCGATAAAATGTTCAATGGGATGTGCATATTCCGCGGCAAAGCTGATTGGTGCCGTGTACTTGTGGTGCATCTTATGGATATAAACGTATATGCTAGGATGATGCAAGGCACGATGTACGTAGTAAAACATAACCTCACTTGCAGCCATCCCAAAAAGGAAGTCTATTATCAATGTCTTCAAAGATGGAAGGCGAGGGTCCATCCAGATGAAGCTGTGATCAAAGCCAATCCAATAAATAGCGAGAGCATGTAGCCCGATGATCCATAGTTGATTGAACATTGATACTTGCATGCAATGCCAAATCTGGGGCCATGTAGGTTGCCGACGTTCGCTTTGAATTTTATGCATCCGAGAGAAACTCGGGAGAAATACATCAAGAAGCACGTAAACGGTTGCTGGAATAATGAGGCCGATGATTTGACTTGAAATTACGCCGGCAATCTCGATATGGCCAGGCTTGTAACGAGCACAAATAGATCCCCACAGCTTTTCAGTCTCTGCGATATATTCCATTTTGTCGATAGAAGAAGTAAAAGTAAAATATATGTGAATTTTTGATCTTGAGCGATATCTCGAGTTTGGAAACTGAAAAACATTCTTGCAACTTGAGGTTGGGCACGCTGGCAACATTCAAAAACATATCAAAGTTTAGAGAAGAAGAATTCCGAAACGGATGTCCTCAGACAACTAACTTGAAGATAGGATGAAAATCAGCGGCATCGGCACGGTTCCGATACTCATACGATTACTAGTAGATTCATCACGAGCGTTGCCGGAACGGTCCCGGATACAATAAGATCGACCCGCTTTCAAACCTCTGACCTCACGAGTTATTACCCCGCAAGTATAATCTAGAACCGCAATGCTCCATTTAGTAACTATATAATGGAAAGATGTTGATGGAAAAATTTTCGATCCACCCCTTGATTCCGACTATGTCTCCTCAAGCCTTTACTCACAATTATGTTTCCGCATCGTACAGCCAGATTGCCTGTATCGGCACTGGCCTCAGTGCAATAGCTCTGGGGGCAACGCTCAAGAGATGGTACGATATGGATGATATTCATTTTTTCGAACGTCATGCCGATTGCGGAGGAACTTGGCATATCAGTTCATACCCTGGTAAGTCGTGCTTGATTCTAGCCATAGGTGTATTACGACTAACGGATCCCTTCAGGATGTGCTTGCGACGTTCCTAGTGCTCTTTACAGTTTCTCGTTTGCTTTGAGTTCCCGTTGGACCAAGCTCATGCCTTCGTACAAAGAGATCAAATCCTACCATGATGAGGTAGTGGAAGACTATGGCTTACGTGGTAGAATGACGTTTAACACGGAGGTGGAAGAATGCTTTTGGTGTGAGGACATTTCCAGGTGGACGATGAAGCTTCGCAATGTGGTTACCGGCGAGGTGACCCATCATGAGTGCCAGATACTTTTTGCAGCTACAGGTCAACTAGTGGAGCCAAAACCCTGCGATATTCCTGGATCGGAAACATTCAAAGGATGTATATTTCACTCTGCAAGATGGGACCATAACGTTGATTTGGATGGCAAGAATGTGATTGTGATTGGAAACGGATGTAAGCATCCCTGGCTCTTTTTATTGGTGCTAGAAACACTAATAGTATACAGGTACCGCTGCCCAGATTGTGCCTGCTATCGTGAATCGTACGAAAAGCTTAACACAGCTGGTCCGTAGCAAGCATTGGGTATTTCCAGCCCCCAATTTCACATACCCCCGAATCTTACAGTGGATCTTCCGTCATGTCCCACTCACGATGCGACTCCATCGTTTACATATTTTTCTAATCGCGGAAAGAGACCTTCGTCTATTTCCCATGACAGAAGCAGCAGCTGAATTGCGTCTCAAACGCCGGCAAAAGGTTGAAAAATATATGCGAGAGACCGCTCCAGCCAAGTACCATGATACGCTGATTCCCGACTTTGATGTGGGATGCAAGCGTCGCATTTTTAATGGTGGATATCTAGAATCACTTCACAATGAGAAATTGTTTCTAGAAGAAACGAAGATAACCGAGATTACACCTGATGGCATTCGAACGACAGATAAATTTTACCCGGCTGATGTCATCGTCCTTGCCACAGGATTTCAGACGAACAAGTTTCTACCATACACAGAGATTCACGGTCTTGAGGGAACCATTTCGGATCACTGGGCCAGATATGATGGTCCGGGGGCATATAATTGTTCAGCTATGAGTGGCTTTCCAAATTTCTTCCTGCTACTAGGACCAAATGCGGCAACCGGTCATACATCTGCGTTAATGGCAGCCGAAAAGTATGTCCCGATGAATACACATCTACTGGCAAAATTTACTAACCGAGCTAGTTCCGTGAACTATGCGCTTCGAGTGCTGAAGCCTGTTCTAGATGGCAAGGCAGCCTCGATAAATTTGAAGCAGGAAGCTGAAGACGCGTATGTCCATCGTGTTCAAGAAGCCCTTCTCCACATGGTCTGGAATGCAGGGTGTGCTTCTGTATGATGCCTCAAATCCGGGAAATGACTTGCTGCTAACTTGTAGAAGTGGTATTTGAACGAGAAAAAGTGGAATGCAATGGCATATCCCTGGAGTCAGGCCCATTATTGGTTTCGCAGTCTTTTCCCCGTATGGTCGGATTGGATATTCAAAGTAAGTCCTACCCATTGGAAGAGCCAGGCTTTCACTGACTTCTGAAGCCAATTCAAAAGCCAGCTTCTCCTAGGGCTGGTAGGACCTTGATTATATCTTTTTTAGCTATTGGGGCTGCCATTATAGCTCATTCGCATAGCCCGCATGTCTTGTCTCTTCTTCTGGCCAAGCTAGCCCGGTGGACTAATCTATAAGCAATTGTTTTTGCTTTCGATGGCGACAGTGAGGGAGATCTAAAATGTGGCTACCTATGAGCCTGTAAGCTACAAAGATACTGAGAATTCTCATAAATATTTTGTTTAAATGATAGCTACTGAACAGGCGTTCTTTCAGGTATTGTCAGGCGGCATCTGTTTAAAAACGAAAATTTTAGATAATCGTTCTTGAAACAGGAAATCTTGAATGTCCTAGTTCTGGCTAGCAATGCCTATTATTCCAAGACTCCATAAGATAGTGGTATTCTCCAAAGTTGTAATAAAACCTAACAGTACAGGGCGTCGGCAGTTTAGATTATAGGTATGCCCGTCAACTCACATCCTAGTTGATAACGCTTCAAGACATGAATACTTCTTACACTGATATTTATCAGCCCTTGGTCGATGGATGGTGCGAAGATATAACGGCCCCTGGCAAGAACTTGAAGGTTGAATGGGCTTATTACTATTGCCGTCAGAGGCTTACGGCTCCAGACTAGAAATTTCCAAGGTGTCTTTTTCTCGGCAAGAAATTTCATACTATGAAACGACATAACTATAAGAATTTCACCCTTTTCGAAGAGACAAAAAGATGTGTGGCTCGGATTCAGACCATATTCCACAGCTGTTAGCCTCAGTTATGCGACTTTGCTAACTCTAAAACTCCTTCCCGACTTGCTTCTTCCCGTATGAGCTTCGAGTGCTCGTCACTTCTCACAGTAGCTTTGACAGGGAATGGCTCATCGGTGCGGTGGTGATTGAGACGGTGGGAATTATATGGACCAGCCTCGCTTGTCAGTTGCTTCTGATACACCATGACGTGAATAGAGAGCTTACCGGTGCATAATCAAAGCACATGACCAGCCGGGCAACATTAAGGAAAAGACCTCTCTGCGCGAGACGATACCCAACACAAATACGCCGCCCTCCTCCAAACTGCCACAGTCCGTGTGCTATGTCGGTCTCGTGCCCATCGAGCCACCTTTCTGGCTTAAACTTGCCCGGATCTTCACATTCATTACAGACTGGGATACCGTTTATGACGAATCCCACGCCAGCTGGGAAGTGATAACCCTCAAATTCCATATCTGACGTAAGAACATGATCCGGGGTAAAGGGAAAAATTGGCCTCCACCGCAGGACTTCTTTGATCAGTGCACAAATATAGGGCATTTGCTCCATATCCGTCATTATCGGAAGCCTTAAAGCGCCCCCTTCAGCCGCACAAATACTGTCAACCTCTTGACGCGCTTTTTGAAAAACCTTTGGGTGGCAGAGACCGGCCATCACAAAAATGTTCAACGCCTCGCGTGTGGTATCACTACCAGCCTCGATAAGCTGCATCGCCACATACATGGCCTCTTCATCATTACCAGTGAACTTTGTTTCTTCGTGGAGAAGGACATCCCGGACGAAAGACGGTGGTGCAATACCTGCGTCGATTTGCTTACGAACTGGCTCCCACCATGAACGATATACCCCATTATTCCACTGATCGAACTTCTCCCAGTATCCGCGCCATAATTGAAGAGATTTCGGAAGAGCGTCTAGCTTTGGAAACCAGTCAATCAAGCTGGATCCGATGCTACCGACAAACTGGGTCACCACGTCTTGAAGATCCGCAAGCTCTTTACCTGTTTTGACCAATCGCTCACCAAGCGCAATACGATGGATCACCGAATTCGCGTAGCGATAGTGATGTCGATACCACGATTCAGGTTGGAACAGATATTCAGCCAGAAGCTGAGTACTCTCAAGTTCTTGCCAGGCAGCGTATTGTTTCAGGGCAGTGCCGCTGAGCAAGGAGTGCATGACACGACGCTTCTCAGTCCAGCCGTCAGGTGGAAGTAACAATGATCGACTATGGCGACTGACTATCCCACTTGCAATTGGCATTGGCGAGCGGCCATTTGTTAAAGAGCCTCGCTTGGCAATAATCTCACTCACGACGCGCTGACTGTTGAGAAGAATCCAAGTCTTAGATCCCAGATGTAACGTAGTCATCTCACCGTAGCGGGCGAGGTCTTGATGCTAAAATGGGTCAGTAAAATTTCTCAAAATAGAACTGCAGCACTTACCATCTTGAAGTCGGGATCATCGCGCGCTGATCTGAGATCCAGCAGGCTTCCAAATATGGGGATTCCTTTTGGGCCTGGGGGCAAGCGCCATTCTTTCCCTGGTGGTGGTCGTCGTTTGCCCACTGGCACGAATATTTCGCTGATAACAAAGAATGTAGTTGATATGCAGACAGCAATGGTCAACAGTAGTGCTGTCCCAGGATAATAGGCGACATAGTATTCAATCCTAGCGTATATGGCCGAAAGCATTGTGGCGGATAGATTGACTCTCTCACTTTGAGTCAGTTAGTTTAATAGACTGCATTTTGTACCCGGACACATCCCGATTTGATGCGGACCCTCGATAATTCCGCCCGGCGGCATTTGACGCCCTGCTCTCCGCATCGGATACATCCCGGACACCACGTAAATCATGCAGGAATGGTGCCGATGTAGAATAGCGACAAGGATGCTCCGGAGATGAAAATTCCTGCCTCTTACGGGATAAAGCGATATTCTCGTCAATCGATCATAATTAGAGCTGGTGAAGGGATGAAATGGTGGTAGAAAAAAAGAGTGAAGCTACCTAGAGCGATAAGGACGACACGGCGGCCTTGGTGCCTGAGGCCGTACACACAAGAAATCCCACTTCGCGATATAGAACAGAGGAAGCCATTTTTCAACCCGGTTAAGTAGTTTCCCGATTTTTTATGATGCAAATAAATATTACAGTGTTGCAAACTTTCTAGCAAGGCGCCCCTTATGCCACCTGTGGAAACCAGTCCTGAAAATCACTAAGATCAAAAGGCCCAAGAAATCCCCAATCCTCTAATAGAGTCCCGTCATCGCTGTTCAAGATTCCACTCGTAATTTCAAGCAGGCCTGTATTTTGTTGTTCCAGTTCTATGGAGGAGTCCTGGGGAGCCTTGTCGTTGTTTTGACTCAGGCCTGGATCGGAATTCGACTTTCTGAGAACCCGATTTCGTATGCCCTGGAGGCAAGTAAGCGTGTTTTGAGCCGATATACTAAATGAAGCCATGTACTTTAATATGCGCTCGGACTTTTTCCAGGCAATTTCGATAGTGGTTTTTTCAATGTCTAAATGGTGAGGATCACGACAGGTATGAGACATGATCAAAACCATTGCTGCGGTAGAGGTATCTATTTCCGGGTTAGTATTAGCACCAGGACATATAGCTTGCGTAAATGCAGTGTCCAAGACTAACAAAAGCCATTATACCACCATGTGTCTGTTTCGAGAATTTTATGGGTCTCATAGACGAGGGAAACGAGATCAATAGCTGCCCGAATACATTCGTTCCCACATTTGACTGACACAAATGAGTGTACTGAGCTTGACAGATAACTAGATGATTCATTTGATTGTTCTCCAAAACACATATGGGTGAGCATGGGCCGATAAAGCAGGACGTGGAGATACAGAAACCTAATTAAGGGTCAGAGAGCAAGAGAATAAATATTGAATGACGGGAGCCTACCGTGCGTGAAGTACATTTCGCTGTCGATCAATAATTGACTGATGCGAAGATGGTACCGTCGACCCAGGAAGTTGATTCCAGTTTAGGCAGTCTGGAAGGCTAGACTTATAAGAACGTAATCTGTCTTCGATCCTGATAATCATATCGAGCCCTCCTTCCTGTTTTATCTTGTCGGTGGTTTCACTGGATCGTCCCCTCCAAGCATTATAGACATCGGAGAGAATAATATCGAGAATAGAGTAAAGCCTAATTGTGGAATTGTAAAAGGTTATGAGTGTTGGTCCGTCTGTCTCCCTCCTGGATTCGAGGTCGAATATCCCCGGTAGTGGAATACTCGTAATATGCGTCGTCATGCTAGGACGCCCATATGTCATACTGACGGTCATGTCCATCATTACACAGCCATACCAGGTCCTCCTCTGGATCTCCTGCTCCAACGGATGTTTGGCTTCCCACATATGCGGTTCATGTAGCCCGAAGCCCAGCGCCAGACGGCATGCCATTCCAATTGAACTCCAACAGCGGTGGGGATAGCCTGTACTTTGCAAGAACAATGCAACAATCAACAATGCCTGAACTACGCCAATTGATTGGATATCAATCATATCCAAACCAATGTGGTGCTTGGCTCGAAGGAAAAATTGATGCGCGACGGCCTCTCGTTGTTCAATGGGGATGTCAGAAAAATGACAGCCAAGGGCAAAGATCGCATTGAGTGCGCAGCTAAAGACAACTGATTTTGATCCTGAGTTGACGCGATCCCCAAGCCCAATATTTAAACTTGAGAGCTCATGAGCACCATGGTTGCGAGATATCCAAAGATTTTCATATGCATCTTGAAAGCTGCGGCGATCAAAAAAGGGATAAAGGCAATAAACCCTATCCCAAAAACAAACTAGTAAGTGATCTGCCAGTGCCCGGGGAGGAAGCAGCAAATCCTCCAGCTGCATGGCAGATAGGGAGCTTTGATTCAAGTCTTGGCCATTCAAAGTTGGGTTAAGCGGACCCTGTCTCCGTGATACCCATGCATGGCGGCTCTGTTTTTCATGGTTTCGGGATAAAAGCGACATCAAAGAGGCGGTTGACGAGCTTCCAAAGTACTCTGCACTTTGATTTGGAAAATATTCGTTATCATCAACCCCTGTCATGGCCCCCATCGCAGTAACATTGCTAGGGGACTCAAAGGGACAAGATGAATGGGCTGTGTTGGTATCTTCTCCCTTATCTTTCGCGTCCAACGATATCTGCTGATAGTCCGGCGAGACCTGGGCTTCATCAATTCTTGTTTGGGCGACACCCAGTCCTAAGGCCCCGCCACTGGTATCGGGATCGGGATTTTTTTCGGAGTCGGGTATATTTCTCGGTTTATTCGAGCATTCCGCGGTAGGCACTGATACCTGCGTGCCCGGGTTTCCCTCCAGCTCGCGAATTCGTTGGTGTAGAGTCTGAATGTATCTGATCCCGATATCATTAGCTCCTGGGCTGATTTCGCAAAGGGGTGCTCACTCATCGCTACTTGCTGACCGCGCATTTTCCGCTTTGTACACACAACGACCGATCGGAAAGCCCCGACGGTCACAAGATGCACATACCGGTTTGCCGCCGTCGCAGCGAGACTTGCGCTCACGGCAAGGTTCACAAGCCAAGGCGATTTTGCGACGACGAGCTCCTACAACTCTCCGTGTGGAATGTTCCTGTTGCATCGTACCTTTCTGCAGGGTGAGTAATATCGGAAAAGACGGCCGATATGATCGCAATATATCGGGTGCATCCCAGATTTAGCCCTTCTTGGGTACGGATATCATTCCGGGTATGTTTATGTGGCTCGGCCAGTAGGATCCGGGATGTTTCCGGCCGTCGGGACGATCCCGACAACATAACAGTCACTAGTTATAGCCGACATCTACTGCATTAGAGGATTTTGCACACCCAGCCTAGGAGTGCATTTACCCAGGAGATTGACCTCAGACCCTATGTAGAGAAGTGGTGAGGAAATGTTTGGGAAGTTCCTGAGCTTGATATATCTTGTGGTATATGGGATTTTTGAAATCAGTAGTACTGAATCATCTAAAATCTCATACATGAGCTTACAGTGGCGCCGCAAAAGTTTCCAACCCCTATTGCCGACTATTAATTATTTGCCGCCTTCTGATAGCAGACTAGTACTACCTAAGATGGAATATATTGGCTTATCTATTCCTTCTTACGTAGCTACTACTAGTTCACCATAGGAAGGCGAAGACAAGGAAGGTCAACAAAGGATTAGAAACTTTTACGGCGGCAAAGTGGGAAAAGGAAGCTTCCTTAATTTCAATCTCCTCGTTTTGGACACATGCCTCATCACTATTGGTGAAAATGCTCTTTTTTGGCCCAATGTCAGCCTTTATGGTGCAATTCATCCCATGGATCCGGCGAAGCGTCGTGGGCTTAAGGGACCAGAAGCGGGCAAGGAAATTTATATTGAGGATGACGTTTGGATTGGAGCTGGTGTCTCAATTCTGGGTGGTGTGCGAGTTGGACGAGGGAGTCCCGTAGGTGCTTGTTAGGTGGTCTCAAAGGTAAGTTACATATTAACTCTGACTCGGTGGATGATCTGATCAAAGTTGCTTGCTAGGATGTCCCTGCTTTTCATTTTGTTGCCGGGAATCCTGCTACGGTGATTAGACGAATCGAGTCAGCAATGAACCCAAGCCCAGATGATAACGCAAATGAGAAGTCAGATATTTGATTGCGCGATATGGCCGATTATGGCAGTCCGTAGGTGCCAGTGGGCAATAATTTGCTCCTCCGACCGCTCGGTTTCTCTTGAATCGGTGATCGATGGTCGGAGTTGCGTTTCTCAGGCAACTTCGGCTCCTACATGTTTCAGTGGCTAGTTTTCGGTCTCAGACCACAGAAAATACCGCTCGCATGTATTGGAGTGAAATCATATATTGGAACTTGAATACAAGATATATCAATAATATAAAAGTCTATTGAAACAGGATATTAATTACAATAGCAAAATTCTGAAGATATCCTAGCCTGCTTGTGAGTCCTCGCCAATAAACAGATTTCAAGACCAAACGGTATTCAATATTTTTTATTCTTATGCTCCCGGAAGAAATCTTCGACCTTAGTCCAGGTCAGATCAGGGTATCTGTTGTTGTCCAGTGGGTCAAGCTTTCCAGCACCAGAGAACATATTCACCATATACTGCATACCCTGCCAGGCTGGGAAAACATCATTCTCGCCACCAAATAACCTCATAACGCGGATCATGAGCTCCGTTGAGCCCACTGTGCCCATCCACGATTGATTGTATGTCACACCCTCAACATTGCTCTGTGCTTGAGCGATATCTTTCACATTGACAGTATGACTGGCGATGCGAAGAAAATTGGGTGTGGGGTTTGGATCAATAGCCACTTCTGCTGTATACGCAGCTGTGTCGACCATGGTGGTGAAATCGAGGGGTTGCGTTGTCGAGCCGATATATGCAACCTTGTGGGTCTTATGATTGACCATAGGAGAGTTACCGACCAGGAGATCCATAAAGCCACCATTGAGGATACTAGTCCATGCGATGCCAGACTTTTTCAATTCATTGTGGAATTCGCGACGCAGATCCAAGTTGCGATTAGATCCGATCTTTGTCTTGGTGAAATCCAGCGAGAAATCTGACGGAATGAATCGAGGCACTTTGGCGGCCATGGAAGCTTCGAGGAGCTTTCCCTGGGCAGTATGAATAACATCTCCTAATCCTTGGAGGGTGGAGACAACACAAATCGCTCCGGACAATTCGCCAGTGAGGGCTGGTATCGCATCGAGGCCGACAGGGGCGATGGTGACGCCGGAATTGCGAAGCTTCTCGGTGCGCAATGGGTCAGTGTTAGGACGTACGATGGCCTTGACTGGCATGCCACGCTTCACTAGCTCCATTGCAACTAGCTGACCCAAGCCACCTGTGGCACCAGCCACAGCGACGAACTTTGAAGCCATTGGTGGGGTATCTGACGATGGTGGGGTGACAAAGGGATGCTAGGATAATAGTAGAACGTCGTTCGTGTAAATTTGAAATTTTATCGAAAACTCCCGATTCAAATATATTCTGAATTACTTGACACGGCTGGTTGAAAAGAAAAAAGGCTTCTGGGATGACTGATCATCCACTGCATTGTCGATTTTTCAAATTTGTCATTTCGGGGTTGAACTCGCTCCCGGAACCCCGAGATAATTTGCCCCCTTCGCAAGGGTTGGCGAGCCCCCTTTTTTCCACGAAAATCTAGTTGCCAAATTAATATAACTGGCCCTTTTGTGTTATGTACGAATAGCGTTGAATAATTTTGATTATGTCTTTAGTTACCTATGGTTTTTATATATCTTTGTACGAGGGTGAATAGCGAAAATCTATGCCGCTCTCTAACTTGAGGCCTCCGGATTATTAGCTCTAAAATTTGCTTACCGATAACAAATTGCACCAAAACGTAGAATTTTATTGACACTTTCAACGAACAGCTTGTTAAAACAACTCCCAGGCCGATATTTTTGGTATGATCAAGGTGATGGATATTTGGAGAATTATTAGAAACTCTGAGATATATGTGTAAAAATACCTTTGGGATATCTACAGTGCCGCCGTAAAAGTTTCCAATCCTTGGTTGACCTTCCTAGTCTTCGCCTTCCTATAGTGAACTAGTAGTAGCTACGTAAAAAGGAATAGATAAGCCAATATATTCCATCTTAGGTAGTACTAGTCTGCTATCAGAAGGCGGCAAATAATTAATAGTCGGCAATAGGGGTTGGAAACTTTTGCGGCGCCACTGTAAGCTCATGTATGAGATTTTAGATGATTCAGTACTACTGATTTCAAAAATCCCATATACCACAAGATATATCAAGCTCAGGAACTTCCCAAACATTTCCTCACCACTTCTCTACATAGGGTCTGAGGTCAATCTCCTGGGTAAATGCACTCCTAGGCTGGGTGTGCAAAAACCAGTAAGATTCCGCAATCTGTTATTGATTGTTAGAGCAACTCACGACATATGGAGAATCTACATTGACTTACTCCTTCGGGATCAATTTTAGAATCCGGGATACCCTGGCCATAGCCTTTAGTCTTTTCCGTGTTGATGATTCCGTCGATGATGGCATGGGAAACATGAACCCCCTTGGGACCAAATTCACGCGCAAGAGATTGAGACAAGGCGCGAGTTCCAAACTTGCTCATGGCAAATGCCGAAAGACCTGAGCCACCTTTGAGTGCAGCCGTGGCACCTACTACCATTAGTTCAAAATGTCTTGTTAAATCAAAGACTTCATACCAGTAAAAATAAGCGTGGGCGGGTACTGGCCCTTACCCTCCCCCTTTAACATCAAGGGGAGCGTGGAATGGGCAAAATTGAATGCACCCCTGTTCGAAGGCTCCAGGCTCCCAAAGAACTCATCCGGGGATTGATCCAAGAATGGTTTCATTAGGAACTTGCTGGCAACATTGTAGATTGCCGCGGCGACTGTGATATCACTTCCGAACTTGGCCTTGATTTGATCGATTGTTGATTCCATCGAGGACTCGCTTGTCACATCAGTGGGAAACCCTGTAGCTGATCCTCCATTCTGTGTGATTTCTTTGATCAACGGATCAAGGGACCCTTGCGATCGAGCAAGTAAAATAACAGGGTAAGATTGGGCAAAGCGCCGCGCAACAGCGCTGCCTGTTCCGGGCCCTACACCGGCGATGATTGCTATCGGCTTGGGCATTTTGAAGTGAAAAGGGAAAAAAGAAAAAATTGCTATTGCTGTTGCCGCCAGGGGAAACAAGTCGACCTTTTATCATTTTTCTACTGTGACATGACGTCATCACTACTTATTTGACACATTCCCAATCGCTTGCTTGTCTCTAATTATATCTACAGATTCAACACCATCATTCGAAATAATAACTATCAATAATCCTTAATGTTATGTTGTCACTCAAGTGACTGTAAAAACAAATGCATTGTGTCAGCCTTAGGCTCAAGGCATCGATTTGATACCCCTCAGGCGACTATTAGGCACAATTCTGCCCTCATTCGGATTCCTCAACTTCCGTCACAGCATGGCTCAAGATTCGGTCAGTACAAATAAACATTTTCCACGTGGAGGATCTACATTACTCCAACGGAGCTGCCACGATTGCAACCGCAGAAAGGTACGGTGTAGCAAGTCCTGGCCTTGCGATAATTGTGTGCGTTTAGGCGTCGAGTGCTCGTATCCACCGCCTGGCCGTAAGCCTCGGAAAATAACCAAAAGACCGTCGAACGAGGATGAATTGGTTTCCAGATTGAGCCATCTTGAAGCTCAAATCAAAAATCTCGGTAGCAAAAATGCTGCTGAAGAGGCCTCTCCGGGTTTCCCACTAGGGCGGGACAATGATGACAGCCTGCAGGGCAGCCGCATACGGCTAGCCAAGCATAGCCCGGGCGATGGGGTAATTGAGCAGCAGAGAGAGGCTGAGAGCGATGGAATTGCGATGAGCAAAGGGTCTGTCTCACCCAAGGCGACTTCCAGTACACTGGAGGATCAATTTGGACGCCTTGTTGTGGATCGAAATAGTGGAACGAGCCGCTATGTGAATCATCAAGTTTTGACGGAACTTGCAGATCAGGTATATTTTACCCCTTCATATCATCGCCATTTAGAGTATAGAAAAAAGTACTGAGGCTGTGGTTGAAGATTAAAGAAGTTCGAGATCTTTTTGCTTCGCCGGAATCACAGACATTATCCGAGGAAGATTCCTCGACACCAATGCCCACAGCAGCACAGTCTGAGATATCGAGTCCCTTCATATTTGGTTACCATTCTGTGGCTCATTCACTCAACAATTTTCATCCATCGCCAATTATCAGCCATCTTCTTTTCAACACCTTCGAAGAGAATGTGGCACCCATAATTCTGATCATACATAAGCCTATGTTGAAAGAGATGCTCCAAACAGCGACTACAAATCCGAAGAATTTTGATAAGGGGTCTGAGGCATTGGTATTTGCAATCTATCTAGCTGCGATCTACAGCATGTCACCAGAATTATGTCTTGCACAGCTAGGGACAGACCACACTACCTTGACCAAACGATACCGGTTCGCAGTCGAGCAGGCGTTGGTGCGGGCAGGATTCCTTCATACCCGCAAGTTAATTGTGTTACAAGCAGCAGTTCTTTTTTTGAGCTGTGCCTGTGGTCCTCAGGATTCCCACTTTGTCTGGACCATGATCGCTGTGGTAACTCGTCTTGCCCTGGGCCTGGGGCTGCATCGGGATAGTAGTCATTTCGGGCTAGGTCCATTCGAAACAGAGATGCGGCGACGATTGTGGTGGTATATATACCTATTGGATGTCCGATCATCCGACTCTCAGGCCACGAGCCCTCAGATCCGGGAAGGAGATTACGATACTCTTTTGCCATTGAATATCAATGATGATGATTTGTCGCCTGACATGGTTGAGGCTCCACCGGAACGAACTGGATTTACAGATATGTCATTGACCTTGGTCAGATGTGAAATCCTCATATTGCATCGTAAATTGATGCAACTCAACAGCCTCGGGGCTGATAATGATGGACATAACGTGTTATTTCAGAACCGCCTCCAGGCAATAGAAAAGACCCGGGCCACCCTTGACGAGCGATACCTCAAATTCTGTGACCTTGAAATCGCGATTCACTGGGTAACCGCGACCATTGCCCGAGTTGCTCTGGCACGCTCCTGGCTTGTGTCGCACTTCTCGCTGATGAGCGCCGAAGGATTCCAACCAGATCTGTTCCCCGAAAGATGTGATCTCCTTATCCTCACCGCGATCGAGGTACTTGAATTTGGTTGGCTACTTGAAGCCCACGAAAATACCACGAAATGGTCCTGGCTGTTCCAGGGATATGTACAGTGGCAGGCATTTGCATTTCTTCTGTCAGAGCTATGCGTGCGCCCGATCGCCCCTTTATCAGATCGTGCATGGGTGGCCGTCGATCGGATTTATGAACGATGGGCTGGACCAATGGGCAATCGACTTGGGTTGATGATGCGACCGTTGGAACGTCTCCGGAATCGGGCTGCTAGAATTCGATCCCAGCAGCCTATGCCAATTCCAAACAACTTGAATTTAGCTGATATGGGTGATAGGGCCCCGGATATGACCAATTCTGTGGAAGAATTCCAGGGAGATTTAGGATCCCTTGATATCTTTATGGACGTAGTCAATACTATGGGGCTATAGTTAGTTATGGCTGTGAATATAAGTTCTAAATTATCAGGCACTGCTAGTTATACGGCGCTCCATAAGCGCAGGGTGGTCAGTAGTTGTATAACTATAATTAGGATTGGTGTTGCAAAGGTTTGAAATGGCGAACTAGTAGCTACCTGAGGTGGAATAGATTGGCCAGTTTATTCCATCTCAGGTAGCTACTAGTCCACTATGTAGGCGGAGACCAGGCCGGTCAACAAGGCCTTGGGCTTGCGATGCCACTGCAAAATACCGCTATACGAGTACAAATACAACGACCGACCATCTTGCGCTTATGGAACGCCGTAGTAGTACTTTTTGTGTTAAGTATTTCCAGAACGGAGCCAAACATGAGCCGAAATATTATCCCCACCGCTCGGGGCTCGGCTCGGGGCTCGGGCTTCGGTGGCTAGTTTTCATGACATTCATGATACATCATGACTACTCCGATCGAAATTCAACTAATAGACCGTTACGCCAGTGGGTCACTGGGCTGCACAGCTACAGCCCGAAATTAATCAGTCACTGCCGGTGTCTTTGCAATGGATGTGGCTTCGGTCGACCATTGAATCCCGATCACCAGACAGGGTGACGAAATCGACGGCGGATCGGTCTTAGCGCTTACACTATGACCCCGAAGCTTATTCATTGAATTCCACCATAGCTTCCCAAGCTCGTATTTGCCTTTCTGTCCATGTCAAACAGTATTATAAAAGATTCATCTATTGTTGGTTACTATCTCCCATTATTCATATCACTTTTGTCCCTTCTTCGAAGATTATCATAGTATCTGTCTTGCTTTCTCACCTACCATCAAAAATATCCACCATGTCCAAATTGATCACTGTCTTTGGTGCTACCGGCAACCAGGGCGGTTCCGTCATTGAGGCCATCCTCAGCGATTCTGAGCTCTCTAAGGAATTCAAGATCCGCGGTATTACTCGCGACACCACCAAAAAGTCCGCTCAGGATCTCGCTAAGAAGGGTGTTGAGGTTGTTACGGTAAGATTGAATTATTTAACCGATTGAAAATTAATCTATAAACTAACGGGTCTGTATACTAGGCGGATCTGGACTCTGTTGAATCCCTGACTGCTGCCCTTGAGGGATCCCACACTGTCTTCCTGGTCACTAACTACTGGGAGACTATGAATGCCGATATCGAATTCTCACAGGGCAAGAATGTTGCAGATGTTTCTAAGGCTCTAGATGTCTCCCACCTTATCTTCTCTTCACTCCACAATGTGACAGAGCAGACTAAGGGACGTCTATCCCATGTGCCTCATTTTGACAGCAAGGCCAATATTGAGAAGTACATTCGGGCTTCTGGTGTTGGTTGCAGTTTTGTGCTCCCTGGATACTATATGAGCAACTTCATTCAGATGCTTAAGCGTGCTGAGGATGGATCGTACCAGCTGTTCTATCCTGTTGGTAACGAGGCTAAGTTTCCTCTCTTTGATGCTGTCCAGGATACTGGTAAGACATGCTCGATTATGGCCATAAATCGTTAGAATAATCTGCTAAATGTCACTATAGGTCTTTTTGTGAAGGTTGCGCTGAAGCACGCAGACCAGCTAAAGAACAAGCAGGTTCTAGCTGCTGCCGACTACTACACTCCTCAAGAGATTGTGGACACATTTTCTAAGGTTTCGGGCAAGAAGGCTGTTTTTATCCAGATTAGCTCTGAGCAGTACAAGGCATCTTTGCCTACCGCTGTTGCTACCGAGTTCCTCGAGAATCAGCTCTTTGTGGAGGACCCTGGCTACTATCTTGGCGAGTCGCTTGAACCTACCCTGAAGCTCGTTGATTCTAAGCCTACTACCTGGGAGGAATTTGTTAAGAAGAATGTTTCTGTCTGGAAATAAGTAATTCACGCATCTATGGAGGATTACGTCTGAACAAGAGCGTTGGATGAAATTCTATCCCTTCCATCACAATGAACCATGTTCCACACTCAAGTATGCTTTGTCCATTACCAATAATCGAAAATTGACAAACGTTTCAGCACCTACCTAGGGGATAGAATTATCTTAGGTGCTCATGCTGGGAAATGTTAGGGTGTTTCGATCTCAGAAATTAAACAACTCACTTTATCAAAATAGTCTTCGGTTCAGTAAATGCTCGTAATGCCTGATAAAAATTGATTAGTATCCCATGATCCTTACAGGTTTAAGTGCCTGGAATACTCACATATTCCCCAAATTCTCTTCCGATTCCGGATTGCTTCTTACCCCCGAACGGAGCTTGTATGTTCATCTGGTGCTTATTAGAGATGGTAACATAAATTTGCCACGAGAATAGCATACCATGCTGACGCAATTTATACCGACGACGCCCGAATCAATTTTTGCAGAGACTCTCATGGCACGATTGATGTCCCGTATGAAAATCGCTGCCCATATTCCGTATCATTCGCCAATTCAATGACCTTTTCTTCCGAGTCGAAGGTTTTGACAACTGATACAGGTCCAAATACTTCCTCTTTACCCATTTTGTCGTCTAATTGATGCGGCTTGAGCCTTGTTGGGGAATTTTCAGAGTCAAGGCTAAGTTTTTTGTATAGGGAAAATAAATGCACTAGTCGTAATTCTAGTAATATCAGGCTTCTCAAGCTAGAATAATAATAATAAAACAGGATTTATATAGTCGGGACCCATGAACCAACACCTCCAAGGCGTCTCGGTGTCTCGGTGTCTTGGCATTCAGCCCCGTCGGGAACATAGCTCTTCGAGAAGAGGCCGAATGGTACCACTATTCTTATAAATTGCTTGAGATACCATGAGCAGTGTATAGAAATTAAATTGTTTTGATTGAAAACATATTGGTTATTACGTTCTGAATCATGTCTATGAAAGCCGTTGTTTTTCGCGGGCCGTTCAACATTGGTGTTGAACAAAAGCCCAAGCCTCAAATCAAAGATGCTACAGATGCCATAGTTCGAGTCAGAATGGCAGGTATATGTGGAAGGTATAAAATTTCAAGCATGTCCAACGGCATTAGTAGCTAATAGGCATTCAGCGAACTTCACATGTACCGAGGGCGTCAACAAACTGAAACTGGGCATATCATGGTATGTGCCTCCGTGACTCGCACCGGCTTGAGCGACTAGTAGCTACCTGAGATGGAATAAATTGGCCAGTCTATTCCGTTTCAGGTAGCTACTAGTTTCTTCTGCTCCAGAGAGCAGAAATGCTGATATAAATGGCGATGAAGGGCCACGAATTCGTGGGCGTTGTCCAAGAGACTGGTAGTGAAGTCACCCTGTTTCACCAGGGAGATGAGATTGTGTCTTTCTTCTCCGCAGTCTGGTAAGCATGCAGAAAAATCGATTTAGCATCATCAGCGCTAAGTATTCAAAAGTTTAAAATGTTGGTTTTGTCGTCAAGGTCTAACAAACCGTTGCATTAATGGCATGGCTTTTGGTACTCAACTACTCGACGGAGGTCAAGCCGAGTACGTCCGCGTCCCCTTCGCCGATGATACCCTACAACATGTTCCAGCTAACCTAGATCGTCGTCTCCTAATCATGATGTGCGATATATTTCCCACGGGGTATTATGGAGCCCTTCGAGTTATTGAGGGGCTTCGGACACAGTAAACTTCTAAACTCACAAGTTTCCCCCAGTCGAGCAAAGAGAAATTGAGGGGTATCGTCATCCTTTGATCCATGTCAATGCCACTCAAAGACTCCAGGAGTCAACTATTATCATTCTCGGTTGCGGACCGGTGGGAATTTGCGCTATTGCGGCAGCTCGATCGGAGGGAATCAAGAAAGTATTTGCAATCGATAGTATTGAAGACCGCTTGGTGGAGGCCGCAACTTTTGGTGTTATTCCGATTATTCTCGGACGAGACGATGCAAAAGCCCGAGTATTGTAGGAAACCGACAATCGAGGCGTAGATGCAGTTGTCGAGGTTGTGGGAAACAAAGCGGCATTGCGTTCTGCCTTTGATTTACTGCGACCATGTGGGATATTGTCATCCGTGGGCTTCCATCAAGGTGAGCTGCCCTTCACAGCCCTAGAATGCTATCAAAACAACATTACGTTGGTGTTTTACCAGTGCCTACTAGTCCTTTCTTTTGTTCTAACTCCATTACATGTCACAGTGTCAATTTTGGACGCGTGCCAACACGTACAGTGTTCGAAGATTCTTTGCAATGCTTGACAGCCAATCAAGAGAAGATGCAAAGCTATATATCGCACGAGTTTCCTATAGATGACGTTGCTAAGGGGCCCGAAGTATTTGAAGAGAGAAAGGCAAGGAAGGTCATACTCAATATTTCAGATTAGCTAAATCAAACCAAATTACATGTTTATGAATGTCGTTTTGGCATATACTAAAGCCAAATAACCCTTGAACGCACAAATTCAAGGGCAGGATGGCGGTTCAAGGTACTTTATCATAATTCATTTATAACGCTCTAGTAACTTCGAATATGGTTCTGAGCAGCTCGCGTAAAGTTACCGTATTATCAAGTCAATTATTGATTATTATTTAATCATTTATAGTCGATTGATATGTGCCATTGGAAGAGGATTCTACTATCCGTCTCACAGGATCATATAACCAAGACTGAACCTCGATTAAGAGGGATGCACCGGCTTCGCTTTTCGTGCCCGAGGTCCCTTTCGTACGTACCTAATGGTGTGAAAATTAGCCTTATATTACCAGTTATATCTAATGGTCATTTTCAGATGGATCAGTACCGCCCTCGCTGTGATTCTGTGCGCACGCAGTCCGTATTGGTCGATATGCATCCCGCACATTGGGCCCCGCGCTGTGCATTGCATTTGATCTTCTTGGAATGACATCTGCGGCAAGCTACATTTGTACGTCTTTGGTCCGGGCAACAGAATCGAGAGGCTGACTATTCATGACTAGCGTTGAATAACGAGTAACTGGTGAGTTCTTAGGTTGAATCCCCTCGGCAGTTGTTAGTATACGAAGAAGCCGAGTTCCAATTGCCTTTTGGCTGAGCAGACCAGAACTTTAGAAGACCAAAAAAGAACAGTTCGAGTATACAGAACACATTGATTCGAGCAACAACTAAGTAAAGAAAAATCTTCAAACCGACAGAATCCCTTTTGACCCAAAGACTCCGGATAAAAATCAAAATATGGTACAGGAAACAGACCACAGCCGTGGGTGAGGTCCACTCTTTCCTGGCCTTCTCTATTCGCTGTCAGAGCTGTCCTCGGCCTGCTTGGACTTCCGGCGCTCCTTCTTCTCCTTCTTCTCCTTCTTCTTCTTCTTGCGCTCGGCCTTCTCCTCGGCAGTCTCGCCGTCGTGCTTGCGCTTCTTCTTGTCGCTGTCGTCAGCGGCAGGGGAAGACTCCTCGGCCTTGGACTCCTCGACCTTGGGAGTGTCGGGAATGTGAGCGACGGGCTGCTCGCCGTCCTCAAGGGGAGCGTTGTAGTCCTTGTAGTCGGACTTCCACTTGGAGGGGGTCTCCTCGTTGGCACGGCCGAACTTGTCCAGCTTGCCGGCGGACTTGAGCTTCTTCTTCTCAAGGGCGACGGGGCCCAGACCCCAGCGGCGGGGGTACAGGTCGCGCTCCATGATGCAGCGCTTGACCTTGGCGACGACACCGTGGTCGCAGGTGGTGAGCTCGACGGTGGACATCTGGGAGATACCAATGGCGATGGCCTCACCCTTGGTGGTCATGAGGACGACCTCCTCACCAACCTCGATACCGGCCTCTGTGAAGAATAATTAGCATTGGGTTCATTTGAAAGCAAAGATTGAACGTAACGAACCGTGGCGGAGAAGACCAGGAATCATCAGCTTAGCACCGTAGGTGATAGCGTTGACAGCGCTGTCCTTGACGACAATACGCTTGTAGCTGGTGAGCAGAGACTCCAGGGGCTTGATGACGCGGCGGAGGTAAGACTCGTCACGCTGGTTGTCATAAACCCACTGGGCATCCATGACATCGTGCAGAGTAACCATACCGCTCTCCTCGTTCATGGCACCGGAGCGAACACGACGCAGCTCCTGCATGTGAGCGCCAACACCGAGCAGAAGACCCAGGTGGACACAGAGGGTACGGATGTAGGTACCAGCCTCACAGCTGACCCAGAAGACACCGAGGTGGCGGTCATTGTCAAACTCGTAGAGGTTGCTCTCGTGGACGGTACGGATACGGAGCTGACGCTTAACGGCCGAGATCAGGGGAGGACGCTGGAAGAGAGCACCGGTGAGGGTCTCCAGAGCGCGGCGGAACTGAGCCTCGCCACCGGGAATCTTGTCGTGGAAGCGAACGACAGCAACGTACTCCTTACCGGCACCCTGCTGGGACTTAACGAGACGGGTGGCACGGTCAATGCAGACGATCAGACAGCCAGTGACCTTGGGGTCAAGGGTACCGGAGTGACCAGTCTTCTCGGATCTAAAGGGTAATAGGCGAGTCAGAATCGGCTGAATACAATTGATATCGAGTCTTCTGGGGGTTGGGGTTGGGGAGACTCGGGTGTGGAGGTTGGATTTTACCTGAGGATCCGCTTCATCCAAGCCACGACTTCGTGACTGGAGGGGTTGGAGGGCTTGTCCAGGTTGATAACACCGGAGCTGATGTAGGACTTAAGATCACGCTTAAGAGGGGAGGCACCAGCAGGGATCGGGGTGAAGTGACCGGTGCGAACGAGCACTGCGCAGAGAAAAGATTAGCCATGGGCTCCCGCGAAGGCAAGAAGAACCCCGGAAAAGAAGAAAAAGACGCACACTTCTCGTAATTCTTGAGCAGAAGAGGCCAATCTTCTGTGGAGACGGTCGGCGTAACCGCCTCGGGCTTGATGGCGTAGTCCATCTCTTGGTTATTGACGGCGGCCATCGTGGTTGTTGGTTGTCGTTGGAGGCCAAAAAATTGTTCGGGAAGAAACCAAATTTTGCGGTGCGCCAGCTCCAACGCCAGATTGGGTTAGCGTCCGTAGGTCACGTGGTATCAGAAGCAGAGTCTTTACACAGCGTCCAGCATACTGTATACACTAGTGTATACTAATTACTGCGGATTTTTACTATAATTATATAATTACATCTGATATACTGCCCTTAGCTTAAGCATATTGTTGATTGTTGATGCACTTTGTGTGCTAGCTAATTTACAGGGATTGGTGCGACTTCGCCACCTATGGGATAGTACGGGTGTAGTACATGCTATTAATGCAATTCATGCAATTCATGCAATTGATTCACTTTCACGCATTCCCCTGCAATCATATCCCCTCACGTCTCTCAACTTCAGCCAAGTCGTCGTCCAGCACCCCGACTGCTCCAAGCATCCGGGGTCCGCTGGAACGCCAGGCCCATCCACCACCAGAGGACGAAGACGACGACGCGTCCGCCGACGGCTCAGGCTGCGATGCAGGCTGACGGAAAGCAGTCCCATACGGGCGAACAGTAGGGTTTGAGGTGACACCGCGGAAGTATCGACGCACAAAGCCAGGGGGTTTGATCCAGTTACGGCCACCTCCGAAGGTGGGATAGAGGCGCGTGATGAAGTCGTAAAGGTGAGCGGCGATAATACCCATGCCCTCAGCTAATGCTGCGGGCAGGCCATGCATAACCAAAGTGAACGCAAGCATCGCGAAGGGCAGATACTCGACAGGCATTGGAATGATGATGAAGGTGGCTCTCCGGCCGCGGTTATCCTGCGAGTAGGTGTAGACCATCGCCATGATGAGGGCTAAGGCATCCTGGTCTTAGTATTCGAGAGCTTCGAGAGGGCCAGAACTGGCAGCTTGAGAGCTGCAAGAGGTGTAAAAGCTTACCGGAAGTGAAGAGCACATTGCCGAGGAGACAGCCTGAAGTGAGCTGGGAAAGGTCAGCATGCTGTTATAGAAATTGCATTGCAAAGGGCTACCGCGGTGGGAGATTGGAAGAAGAATAGAATGATTGTTATTGGGAATGAATAATAGATAGATGAATATGTAGAATGTAGGGCACCAAAAAACCGGCATGAACTTATAGGATCACGACGGCTATCTCGAGGTAGTCCCACCAATCCCACACCGCATGCAGTACCATTTTTATTTTGCGAATGCGGTACTGCACGGGATGCAGGGGTAATCTTCCTCGCTTCCAGGAACCGCTTCAGCTAGTTTTTGGCTGGGCGGGCAGATAATGCGAGGTGTTTGAATGAAAAGGAAAGGCAAGCAATAAAACAGAAAACGAAAACAAGACTCTCTCGAGATAAATCCCGGTTCAAGCGAGTCACTTACCAAGATCACAGAGGCTACAAAGACCAGATAGGTGAAGAAATCTTCTGGCTGGGTAAATCGAGGCGACGCGGTTTCCAGAGAACTGCCATAATAGTACACTGTGTCGGCCGGGTTAGCAGTTGGGCCAATTGACACCAATGCGATACCGAGGCACCATACTGAAATAGAGATCAAAGATGAACGCGATATTGCCGCCGGTTAGCATGAACGGTGAGACTAGACGCCAGATCTGGGGAGGTAGCTTCCACAGCAGCCTTGGCAGAAAGATAACATAATATCCACTGAGAAGGCGGCCATGGACCAGAACCGATTGAACGAGAGTCAAGGCCGTGAGCGTTCTGGAAGATGAAAAAGACACGTAAGTCTTTGCGGGATCGAGCGGATGAGCAAAGGCAATGCCACATACCGAGACACCGGAGGTGCCGCCCAGAAAGCATCCATCTCGAATGAGAGGTGAGTGAAAGAGAAGCTGGAAGGTTAGAAGGGGTTCAAATCATGTCATTACATTCGAAGCAGTGAAGCAGGAAGAATGGGGGTGAAAAAGAAAGGAAGGAAGGGAAGAGCTTGAAAGAAGCGAGCGGAAAATAAGTACCGTGCGCCCCCGGTACGAGTTTTTCCGGTTCCGGCCCCCGCCAAGACGCGGCTCTTAGCAGCTTGGCGGGCGAGTAGACTGGCAGTGGTATTTATACTGGCAGTATCATACTGTCTAGTGTTATAAAGTAGGGAAAGGAGAGTTTGCAATAGAACTACTAGTATCTAGGTATACTAGTATATTTAGTCTAGCTGTCTATGGTGTGCAGTATTTATCCATCGATCTAGACAAAGAGTATAGTACCTACTGAGTAGTAGATCCATGGATAGTTATATATAGTGCTAGTAGTAGTATAACAGCAGAAGGCCAACCCAAGAACTTCAAGTTAAAGAGAACCTTCGACAATACTCTGGATCATATTTGTCAATAAATGCATATGTACAACTTGCTACTACTCAAAATAATCATTCATTCATTCATCATTCATCATTCAGCACAAGCAAGCCACAGCCTAAGCTCATGCTATCCCACACGTCCTCGCCGTCCCCCTCACAGCCAACCCACCATCAGGACCCTCAATCCAAACATCCCAAGCCCCATTCTCATTCTTAGGCTTACCACAGACAGTCAACTCTTCCTCTACAAAAAGAGGCGCCAGATTCTTGTATTCGAAATCGCTGACTTGGAGGTTAACTTGTTTAAGTTGGCGCTGCAGCACGCTGAGCAATAGGGTTAGAGTCAACGGGCCATGCACTAAACAATTCCGATACCCTTCTTGATTCTGCGTATAGTCCTTGTCGAGATGTATCGAGTGCGCGTTGAATGTTAGTGCCGAGAATCGGAAGAGGAGGGCTTTCGTCGGGAGAATTGAATGGCGGAATGTTGCATTAGATGGCGCTGTAGTTCCGTTAGGGTCATTTCATTTCTTTCCCCCTGGCCTCAGATCTAGATCTGCCATTTCCCGAGAAGTGGAGTGGTATGGAGGCGTTCATGTATGTACTAATTAAAACTCACATTTGACAATCCGACCAGGCCTCCCAAACGACTCCCGGTCCGCCCGAATCTCATCCGCACTCTTAACCCGCATAAAGATCAAATCTCGATTCTCAATAAGACTCGACTCCCCAGGCAAAGTCTCATCTTCCGACCAAATGCGCCGCCAACTCTCCGCCTCCTCTTCGTCCTCGGGTACTGTGCCCACCCGTCGTTCAATAGTGACAATCACCTTCTCCTCCCCCTCGCGTCCCTTGACGGTCACATTGCGGATCGATTCGATACAAACAGCCCGACTCCCGTCGAGAAGGGGGTCTGGCCGCGGAAATCGGATATTACCACCTGCCCAGAGCCGTCGGTTAAATGGATTGCCAGGGGTATGGAGGATATCGGTGCCGTCGGGAAGTAATTGTGACAGGGATACCTGGGGCGGGAAATAGATCAAGTGGTGGGCGATCGGGAGCGGCGAGGGGCGTTGGATTGAAGGGAGGACCGGAACTGGGACTGTCTGTGCATGAGTCTGTGTTTCGCTTGGATCTGATCGCGATTGCGATTGCGCTAGTAGGTCGGCGAGGGTGAGGTTGAGAAGATGGGAGGGTTGAGGGTGTAGGTAGTCGTAGGTTAGTGGGAGCTTTCGCGTTGTGAGCTCATCGTGCAGTCTGACTGCGAGTGGAGTAGTCGAGTATGCAGCTCGACGTGTGTATGCTGGTGCTGATGCCAGTGCTAATGATAATGCTGATGCTGGACCTCGCCCGAGCAAGGGTCGCCAGAAAGTCAACCCCATCGGAATTAAAACAGAAAATTGAGGGTCAATTGATTCCGCAGACTCCGACAGGCAAAGAAATGACGCGCATGGCCCTAGCTTTAAGCTTTCTCGGAAGTTCTGATTGGCCTTGTTCCTCAGGTTTCAATGCGGGCGAATTGAAGATGAGAGATGAGATGAGATGAGTAAACTGAAGGAAAGGAAAGGATGAAAGGTTACCCACACCGCTCGGACAACGCAAGCATTCATGTTTATGTGCAAGATCCCTCCTCGATTCTTCTCCAGATTCTTTTCTTCCACAAATATGTCGTTGCAAAAGTTAAAGGTGGCCTTTTTGGGCCCACTGGCCTCTTTCTCTCATCAGGTATGCTCTTTTTGCCCTTTTCCTCCTTCCCACCCCCGCATCGCCAGTACATGTGCATATTAGCGCTGCACCCCCCAGTCAATTGCCAATCTATTGATAATCCTCATATAGCTGGCTTATGCTTATGCCTATGCTTATGTGAACCCTACGCTAACACTGATACTGACTAGGCTGCCGCCGAATCCTTTGCTAAAACATCAGCCGAGTTACACCCCCACGTTTGCTTCGCCGATGCCTTCGCCGCAGTACAACAACAAGAAGCCGATTACGCCGTGATCCCCTGCGAAAACTCCACCAATGGCTCCGTCGTACAAACCCTAGACCTCCTCGCCGACCGATCAGACCTGTATAAAGATGTCAAAGTATGCGGCGAATACTACTTAACCGTACACCACTGCTTGTTGGTCCACAAGGGCTCATATCCGGGTGGACTCCCGAGCTACGATGGGAAAATCACAAAGCTATACACACACCCGCAAGCCTGGGGTCAATGTGACAAATTCCTCGCGAAATATTTCAAGGGAGTCGAGCGACAGGATGTGTCGTCAACATCTAAAGGAGCGGAGATCGTGTCCAAGGAGGAACCCGGGACCGACGAGCGCGGCGGTGCTATCGCGAGTCGATTCGCGGCTGAGTATCACGGCGTCGATGCTTTAGAAGAAAATATCGAAGATCGCGCGGATAATACGACCCGCTTCCTCATTCTAAGGAATATCCTCGCAGACCGGACGGCGGGGCTGGAATTTGAACAGCCCAATGTCCCTAATGGAGGAGATGCGCAGCTTCATCACGAAGCTACGCACAAGACTCTCGTTTCCTTCTCGATCGACCACTCTTCACCAGGAGCTCTGGCAAATGCACTGCTCATTTTCAAGGCCCATGGCTTGAATCTGACTAGTATCAACACAAGACCTAGTTTGAAACGGGCCTGGCAGTATATTTTCTTTGTCGAGTGTAGTCGGACACCGTGTGCTGAGAACAATGATGCTGTGTTGAACGCTTTGAATGATCTCAGAGGTGTTACTGAGTCATGTAGAGATTTGGGGACTTGGAAAGATCAGTTGGGCGTGAGCATTATCTAGCTTGGTGTGGTCTATATTTATACTCGTTACTCGTTCATATATTTCGATACCTAAATTCACCTAATTTTTGCATGGGCCGTGGATACTATTATATACCAGTTGACTCTCTGTTCGTCGTATGAATATCACCCTGTCCTCTCTTTTCACCTAGGTGTTTCTTACATCGAAAGTCACTCGTCTGTCAGCCAGCCCTGCATCAAACGCCCATCTTGCAAGCGAGTCACTATGAAAGCGAGTCAACCCAATAAGATGTCATGTTTGGTATAAAATTTCAGTAAATCCCCTCTCTCCCTCCCTACTCTCCAAACCACAATCCAGCCATGACCTCCGACATCCTAATGCCACTGGCTGTATTCATCTCCCAGCCCCAATCCCAACAATACATAAAATCCTCTAATATAAACCTCAACAAAGCACACCTACCTTAAGCAACACAAACCCCGACCAAAGCTGCCAGTGCACCTCCCCAGAAATCGAAACAATATTCGACCTAAAAATAAAAATAACAAATGATCCCGAAAACGATACCAGTAACTCAGTCGAAATAAGCACCCCTTCCACCCTAAATTCACTTCCACCCACCACCCGACCCAGACACTACCGAATAGAATGCGACCACGGAACAGACTTCCTCTGGCGCAACTACGAAGACATCACAGAAGAAGAAGAAGTTTCCTACCTAGACGCCGATGAGATGTTTGTCTCCGACTCCAAGTCCCTTCCCCAGTCTGTCAAGGAGCGGTATCTCGACTGGGTCGATTGCTTTCACCAATACTGGGATAGAAGATGCAATGACTACCACGCTCCTATATTTGTTAATAAACAAGAGGCGGTCGCGTGGTATGTTGCTGGTTACTTACTCGCTTGGAGAATTGTTGCTTCTCCTGATGTGGGAAGTGTGGAGTGGTTGGCTGGGCCTTCAAGTTCGGAGTATTTACTGGAGAAGGGGAATGAAACTGCTGTTACTTTGGAATTTTTGAGAGAGATGGTGGATATTTTGGATGGTAGGATGCCTGCTGAGTAGTCTCTCGAAGGACTCGGAATAATCGACATACTATGTTGCACTCAGAGAATCCCGTACGAAGCCCGTGGGTAATGTCATATCAAGCTCAAGTTCCAACCAATGTCCCAGGTTCAAGTTGGCTACAGTTGTCCAAGACCCACTCACTACAAAGAGCATACATATTTAGTAAAAACATAGATGAAAAAAAGGCTGAATTTAATTCCTGTCCCGAGCTATAGAATCCAAGAAAGAAGATAGATAGAGCAAATCTAGCCCTGTCCAAATAGTCCCAGAAAAATCCATAACAAGAGAACAAGGTCACAAAATAAAGCATGGAAATTCCGATCCGATCCGCATAACAAAAAGAAAAATCATAAAAAAGCCAATGGTCCAATCTGGGAGAAAGATTTTCTTATTACTTTTCTTTTCACACTTTACATGCAAAAGACGAGACAAAGAAAAAAAAAGTGAAGCCCCTAAATCGAGACCGAGACCGAGAGCAAAAGGAAAAAGAAACAGCCAGTTCCCACTTCCACCACCCGTGCCCCATTTTTCTCTATTTTTCGTATGGGCAATAACACGCAAAACGCAAAACTCACGAAGATATGAGTTTTGCGTGCGGTGATTCGCTCAATAAGGCAAGTGGGTGGAAAAGGTCGTGGGAGGGGTGGACATAAATGTTGCAGAGAATCGCATCCAACCTTTTTAATTCGCAAACTACACCTCCATGTTCATTCGACACTGAGGTAGACTCAGTGTGCGTATATCTTAGAGCTTGGATGACCCTGTTGGGAACAGTTAGGAATAGCTCAAGACAGAAGGGGAGAAGAAAGAAAGGGAGGAAAGAGGGGAAAACACACCTCTGAGCAGCATGCCAGAGTTTGGAACGGGCCTGTCGATGGATTCCTTTACGGATTCCTGGGTTCCATTCTCGGAGCCGCCTTTATGTCCGACGCGGCGAGCCGTCAGAAGGCTTGCCGCGGGAGCTTCTGGCCGTTCATCCTCGCTCTCTGCGAGGTTGCTAAACCGTCAATCTGTGGGGTGGATGGAGTGGTCAGCAAACGGATGGATGTCCGGAGTTGGTTTGTTCAAAACGTACCGTCGTAGAACTCGTCGTCATCGCTATAATCAGCAAGCTGTTCAAAGTTGACCTTGTATCGGAGCATGGCACCGATACCACCGAAGCCCTTCACGAACTGGTTACCTTCACTGGATCGATCCGAAACGAACTCCAGGTTGGCACCGAATTCCTTGTAGTTCTCGGCCAGCCACTCGAGGAAAGAGCTCGAGTCCACGACCTCCATCTCCAGACCAGTCTCCTTGTCCTGGAAAAGCTCGCGGTTCTCCTCCTGCTGCTTGCTGGTGTGGAGAACGGTCTCTGTACCGGCGGCATCCTTCAGCACCCAGCGGGTAATGTCCAGATTCTCGAAAACGATGAGAATCTCAGCCGCACCCAGCTCCATAGCCTTGAGGGTATCTTCAACACCATAGCAGACCTTGCCAGTGTCCTGACTGATTTGCTCGAAGTAGGCGCCAATCAGCTTCTTCTCCTGGATGAACTTGACGTTGCTGAGGGTCTCGGCGGCCAGTTCGATGGCCTGGTTGAAACCGTTCTCACCACCGTATGACACATCGACAACCTTGATGACCTTGGCTGCCAGACGTCCGTCGAACAGATCGGACTGGTTGAGGTCGTTCTTGAAATCGGCGGAACCGGCCAGGACGATACCGGCGACGTTGACCTTGTCGTTGGTGATATAGTTCTGAACAGCCAACTCGGCGATCTTGCGGACATAGTTGTGACGCTTTTCCTCACGGAGACGGGCGAAACGCAGCGCGGATTGACCACCACGGCCCTGTAGGCAGAAACAGTGAGCATGGGGTAGGGTGGGGTGGGAAAAGACGCATGTCACGCCGATTGTTGGTACTTACGTGCTTCTTGGGCAGATCGACTTGCAGACGCTGGAGAATCTCACGGGTGTTTCCACTCAGAGTACCGAATAGCGCACCGTTACCGTCCATGATGATGAAACCGAATTTCTGGTCGGACTCAAGCAACTCGCTCAGGGCCTCGGTGTGGAACTTGTTGTCACAAAGGTAGAGGGAGGTGTTGATGGGCTTGAAGGGCTCGAAATCGATGTTAATCTTGCGCTCCTTTCCCTCGGAGGTGATAATTTCACCACAGTACACGACCAGTCCATTGGGGGGAACCTTGTTGTACAACTTGAGACGTTGCTGGGTGGAGGTAATGGCCGACAGAACGGAAAGACGGTTGACACGAGACTTGATGTTGGAAGCAGTACCCTATGGTGTCACATATATATTAGCGCTGAGAAACCTGGAGGGAGGAGAGGGAGAGGGGGAGATGAAAGGAAAGACTGAATGGCGGGGCAACGTACATATTCTTCAGCCAACATTCGTGCCGCTTGAGAGACCTGAGACTTGGGGGCTGTATTTGAATTAGCCAGTGCCGAGAGTAAAGATATATTTCAATTTAAAAAAAAAGAGCGAGTCGAGTGTGGAGGGGTATGCGAGGTGGACGTACGGATAATGAGAGAAATCATGGAAGTTCCATTACCACGAGCGGATTCAAGACGCTTGATCAGCTTCTTGACCTTCCAGATCTCAATGTTCTTCTCCGCCTCTCCCTGCTGCTGTTGCTGCTGGGAGCTCATCTTGGGCGAAGCGCAGGTGATCCGCAATCGATCGAACGAGTATCAATGGCTTTTCCTGTGAACGCCCGACAAAACGAGAAACCCACAACGGACAAAGATTGGGTTTTTGGTTAACACCTGGGCGGAGAGGAAACAAAGGTATTAGTGACTTGGTCGATGAATATAAGGAGGAGGATAGGAACACTCAAAGAGTATCAGAGAGTAAAGGAAGGGAGATAGGGGGGGAGTAGACATACCTTTACACCTTTTCTGACGTAGAGTCCGACAGCAAAAATCCTCAGGCACCGTGGGGTTCGAGGGGTGAGTGGGCTGAGGTAAGCAGTGGATGGGGTGGTGGGTGGTGGTACTGGTACTTCCTTAAGTATGCAATTTACAGTACAACTCTAAGTACCTATACTTATACCCGCCACCTCGTGCAGATTCGTCGGTGGCTACACTCAACTGCGGCTTGAATTGACGTGCAGTGCAGCCCAGTTTCAGCCTGGTTGGGTCTGGTTTTTTTCTGATTTTTCTTATTTTACTACTTTTTTTTCTTTTTCTCTCGGGCGGCGAATCTCCGATGTCGTCTTATAGGGCCGAGGATATGGAAAAGTGGTACCCTATTGTACCTTAAGGTACCTGAAAGTGGATTTAGACACAGTGGATGATGTGCACTAAATGTGTATACATCTTCATATTCATACTTCTAGTATACTAGTAGAATAACCTAAGTTCACCATGTTAATAACCTCCACAGTGTAGCTATGAGTAATGTGCCCGTGTCTGGCCGCTTATCAGCAACCTTTGACGCTATCAAACTTATCACCCCACACTTCCCAAGGTTGACTAGCAGGGCACTTCAAGGGAAGCTTCCCTTCTGTCCCCGTGCCACTCACCTTAGTCTCCATCTCTTATCTCTCCTCTCCTCTTTTTCGCTCCCTGCTTCTCATATAAAAGGGCGCCTATCTCCCCCCTCAGTCGGAACCCGCCAGTCTCCTGGGTAGTCTAGCAAAAACCAAATGGCTGCCAGGAACGACGACGAGGCTACCTTCGGCCCACTGAGGATCCCCAGCTCCTACGACTACGGTAACCTCAATCGAGACACCCTAACCGAGGCTGAAACTTGGGGCCGACGAAGGTGAGTCACCGCTAGAGCAAATGAAATGAAAAGTCTTGACTCCTGACGATAAATCCAGATCATCCTCCTTCTCACGGATTCGCCAGGCCGGCGGCCCGAACAGCATCGACAATTTCGCCCGCTCTTGGCAGCGAGCCGCCTGTTTCCCAGAGGTACTACCACGACGCTCGTCCTTCGTCGACGCAGAATCAGACGATGATATTGCCATTGCGACGGGTCAGGATTATGACTATGGCTATACACCCCGGAGCTCTTTCCCATCCATTGGTCGGAATTCCGATATAGAGCGCCCTCTTCTCTCTGAAGACTCTGACGACGCTAATGACCACGACGATGATTCCGGCAGACAGAACAGAGGGGTTCCCAGCGCGGGACTCCTAGCTTCTTCTCTGGACCGAAGCTTCGCTACCTCTTACGGCACGATTTCTTCCCGGGTGAGCGAGTCCGCGCGACGAAATGCAATAAAATTCCACCAGGAGCAGCAGGTCGGTGATGGGCTGGGAGATCCGGACCGGGAACCTTTACTTCTGAAGCATGTTCAGCACGATGATGGGACGCAGGAGGATATCGTGATCGGGCAGTCGACTGTACCTCAGACGATTTTCAACTCGGTCAATGTGTTGATTGGTATCGGGCTGCTGAGTCTTCCCTTGGCGATGAAGCAAGCTGGCTGGTTACTGGGACTACTCTTTCTGGTGTACTCTGCCCTGACTACCTCTTATACGGCTAAGATTCTGGCCAAGTGTCTCGATGTCGATCGTACTCTTGTCACGTATGCGGATCTGGCGTATATCAGTTTTGGTCAACAGGCTCGTTTGCTCACTAGCTTTCTTTTCTGTTTGGAATTACTGGGCGCGTGTGTTGCTTTAGCTGTGCTTTTTGCGGACAGTTTGTATGCCTTGATTCCTGGTCTCAGTATTCTGGAATGGAAGATTGTTTGTGGTATTGTTCTGATCCCACTTAACTTTCTGCCGCTGCGGTTTCTCAGTGTGACCAGCATTTTGGGCATCATTTCTTGCACATCAAGTGAGTGGCAATGATACCCATCCAAGCTAGGCTTTCAAAACTAACCAGATTTACCTAGTCGTACTCCTCATCTGCGTTGATGGTTTGATCAAACCCGATTCTCCGGGTTCCCTCCGCCAGCCCGCCAAAACAACTCTCTTCCCCGAGAACTGGGCCACTTTGCCTCTGAGCTTTGGTCTAATTATGTGTATGTTGCAAAGGTC